ATCTTGAGTATAAATGGGAATATATTGAAGTTCTCTGCCCTTGGGTTGGGTTATTGTGGAAATGTATTAATAGGAATGACCTCTTCTGGTTTTCATTTGCAAATTATTCTGAATATCATTCTCTTTTATAAAATACTGTAGAGAATCTCAAGTTTGTGAACCTACTAAACATTATTATTTAAACAAACTGTTCTATAGCTTAATGTTGAATATCGGATGGGGATATGGAGAAAGTGAGGGTCTAGATAGAGTTGGATGGAGTTTTGTTTTGTTAATTAATTGATTTAAGGCTGGATTTGTCAAGGGATGAAACTGAAGTTTGTGTGATCTGTATCTGATGAAGTGAGCTGTGGCTCACGAAAGCTCATGCTCAAATAAATTGGTTAGTCTCTAAGGTGCCACAAGTACTCCTTTTCTTTTTGCGAATACAGACTAACATGGCTGTTCCTCTGAAACCTGTATATCTAAGTAATTGTTTTTCATTTTGAAAGTCAAGCCCCATTTCAGGAAAATGAAACACATTGCCCCTCCATAGGCCTGTACATCTTCCATGCTCATCCACGCCAACCAGTCCTTTCTATCCCTCAGGGGGGACACCCCATACACTTTTAGAAACGTTGTATTAAGTAGTGACAGGCTACACAGAGCTATTGGATGAGCAGGGCCATTGTTAGGCATAGACAGAGCTGCGTAGGGAACCAGAAAATTGGGGGCACCCTTGGGTCTTAGTGTCCACCTACCTGCCTCTTCCTATCCCTGTTCTGACCCTTTCTGCAGGCTCCCACAGCTGGCTGCTGCAGCCTGGTGACTCTTACTCCCGAGGGGATCTAGTACCTTAAAAGTGAAAAAGCCTGCCTGCCAGACTTATTAGCCCAACACTGAAACTGTGAAAGAGCCATTCAAGTGGTAATGAAGCCATTTAACAGGTATTTGCCAATCCCCAGGTATATACTGTCAGCTTTTGAATTTACTGACAAAAACAGCTGTACATTACTGTAATATTTACTTGGAACATATTAGTCTACAGGACCTTAGTTTAAAATTTGCTTTTAAAATATTTAATTCGTGTGTTGCTGAAGATGATAAAATCATATCTCTGAAAAAATCCTTGCATAGATTTTTAGATGCACAATCTGAGTATTCATCTTTAGCCTTAAATGCTTGGATCTTCAGACTTATAGTTTTTTAAATAAATCCTTCAAAGGACCACCCTTATCTAAAATACACGTTTTAATTGTAATTACTATAGTACAAAAAACTTGCTTCCAAAGTCTTCCTTGTCCTTCCTCCCTTCTTCCCCTGTTGAAGAGAACCCTTAAAGGGACAATACCCCTTTCCTGCCAGATAGCTGGACAAATGAGTTTCCCTTTCTTTACTTCTGACTATTTGATGATCTAGTTTTAAGAGAACCCTCTCGCAAAATCAGTACCTTAGTAAGATATAAAATCCTTTGTTATGCCTAAAATCTTTGGAAACATATTTTTTAGAGTTGGTGACATTTCATAAACATGTCTACTGTTATGGAGATCACACAAAGTAAATTAGTGTTCCCTTTTTTCAGAGTAACAGCCATGTTAGTCTGTATTCGCAAAAAGAAAAGGAGTACTTGTGGCACCTTAGAGACTAACCAATTTATTTGAGCATAAGCTTTCGTGAGCTACAGCTCACTTTGAGCTGTAGCTCACGAAAGCTTATGCTCAAATAAATTGGTTAGTCTCTAAGGTGCCACAAGTACTCCTTTTCTTTTTGTTCCCTTTTTCTAAAAGCAATGAACATTGTTATGAACACACTAAACCTCTGTGACTGATTAATTTAAAATGGCTTTGTTTCAATGAGTTAATTATGTCGTAATCTGGAATGATTACTTTATGAAGGCCTAAGAGTACATTTAAAATATAAAATCAGCTTTGAAATACTGATTTAAGAAAATGTAAAACAGAGAAGAACTGCATCCTGAATTCCATAATATTTAATGTTGTATTCAGCAGAACAGCTGACTTGCCCTTACTACAAAGTTTTTGCAAATAAATCTCTGACAAACTTCAGGGTACATCAAAAAACCCGTGACTGACATTTTTTATTCCCAAGTTTAGTGCTTTTAATTAGGTACCTTCTGCATGTCCCGTCTTCACTTTCTGGCATGCAGTGGAAAACATGCTCCATTTTCTTTGGAAAGAAATTGCAGAAGTGTTTTTTTCAAATGTCATTTGCTTCATTTGGGTTCAGGGATTTGGCTGGAAAGGAGTGATCAGGGGGAAGAGAGGAGGGAGAGGGCGGGTCCTGGGCACAGTGTGGGCAGGGCCTGGGGCAGAGCAGAGGTGGAGTATGGGCAGAGCCACAGGTGGGCTGGGGAGCTAGCCTCCACAAGCATCTGCTTCACCCACCACCCATGACAGCAGATAAGAGCAGGTTGGTTCCCGCACACCCAGTGCACACTGCAGTCTCCTTAGGCAGGGGTCGTATTCACAGAGCCTAATGTGTCAGCACCGCGAATTCTGCATGAGGTAGAGGGTACGGAGGGTCTCTTTGGGGAATTATGATTATCCGCTGCCGTGAGGCTCAGTATCCTTTGCTGCGTCATCCCTCATCGTCCCTCCCCCAGTCTGTGAGCCTGGGCTGCCATCGGGCATAGGGGCACCAGTTTAATAATACTGCGTAGGGCCCCATAAATCCTAGGACAGTCCTGTGGATGAGTGCTCTTTTTTAAAGCATTTCTATAAATCTAAATATACTAATAAGACTGAAAAGACAGGAAACTGGGATGAAATATTTTCGTAAATGAGCCTTCAACTTCCTTTTTTTCACCAGAGCTCATTAAAGATAAAGAGGTACAATCCACTTTTGCTCTCCTCCTTGTCCAAACCACTGTCACATGAGCAGCAGGATATTCTGGGAGTATTGTTTCTATGGAAACCATTTCCTTACTATCATGTACTGTATTTAGCCTACATGTTTCTGCTTTGTTGTTGTTTTGGTTCTCAGACACACTGCACGATAGCAATGGAGTGTAAAAATGCTTAAAATACAAATAATAATTTTCCTTAATACAATATGATTTTCGAAGTCCTTTTGAGTTGGTACTGTTGTGTCCTAACTCTGACATCTATTTTCCATCTTACAAACTGTCTTCTTTCTGTACTACTTCTATTCCTTCAACTACGCTTCAGCAGATGTAACTAAACTGGATCTGGGTTAAAAATGGGTATGTTCATTTTTGTTTACACTACTGCTTCTATCAGTTTATTTGAATTTTGGAAGACATTTCCTCAGTGTAGTAAAGCCTATGAGCTAAATATCTATAATCTGGAAAAAATTGCAGGAAGGAAATGTCCTCATGATGTATCTAAAACCTACTCCTATCTGTATCATGAGTCCTGAATGTGATTTTGGGGACTACATGAGAGTTGCATAAATATAGGTTCCATAGATGCTAAATTCTAAAAATGCTAGAAGATAGATATTTGTAGAAAACCACCCTATGTCCTCACTGAAAATTACTGGGGCAGCTACTTTTGTGAGGACAGAGCTAAAACATTTTTCGTTGAAGTTAGGGCCATGCCTTTACTAGACAGAAAGAGCTGACCTCAGTGGGGATCACTCTGGTAATTGTTGAATAGGAGGCAACTGGATATTCATTGTTACACAAATGTTTGTAAAAATGAAGAGGTCCTTTGTAAATCTGATGGTTATTATGAATGCTTATGGCTGCAGTTAGCCACTTTCATGCGCATTAACAGAGCAATGTTCCCTCGCTGTCTAAGACAGTGGTGTGCAAACTTTTCCAGTTGTGCCACTCCCCCCTGTTTACCATTCACATAATTTGCTGTTGTCCCCCTCACTTCCATTATTTGTAATCTGAAACTGTTTTGGGTTTTTTTGCATTACCTGTAATCTGAAACTGGAAGGTGGAGTGGAAACACAGAGATAAGATTTCAGAGTAGCAGCAGTGTTAGTCTGTATTCGCAAAAAGGAGTACTTGTGGCACCTTAGAGACTAACACATTTATTTGAGCATAAGCATCCGATGAAGTGAGTTGTAGCTCAGGAAAGCTTATGCTCAAATAAATTTGTTACTCTAAGGTGCCATAAGTACTCATTAGTCTTGTACTCATTTTCTTTTTGCAGAGATAAGACTAATGAGTACTTGTGGCACCTTAGAGACTAACAAATTTATTTGAGCATAAGCTTTCGTGAGCTACAGCTCACTTCATCGGATGCTTATGCTCAAATAAATTTGTTAGTCTCTAAGGTGCCACAAGTACTCATTTTCTTTTTGCAGAGATAAGACTAATCATTCGGAGCATCTGACTCATTCAAGAGGTCTTGGGCTCTCGGTTGTTATTATTATATGTTGCCAATTTGTTTTTTAATATCAATTGTTAATCATTAAATGAGTTTTTAAATTAGTGAGTTTCCAAATTAATTTTAAAGGCATAATAGGCCTACTGTACTTATGAAAATTGTTTAAAATAAGCCAGCCTGTTCTTTTATTTGTACGTTTGTTTTTTAAAAGGTTGACAGTCTAAAGTTTCTTCACACCCCCCTAGTCTGCGCCCCACTGGCCGAGGACCCAGAATGGCATCTCCTTTCCCACAGCAACACTCTGCCCCACCTGTCTGCAGGAGGACCTGCGAGAGGGCCCCGCTCCTTCGGCCGCCCTGGCGGGGCCAGCCCCCGTTTTCTATTCGGTATTTGTAGTGCGGCCAGGGCTCGGGGCCTCATCAAGGCCCTACTCTGCTAGGCCCTGTGGTCAGCCCTTCCCGCATTTTCTATAGAGGCCGGTGCAGCGGGGATCAGGCTCCGGCCCGTTGCTGTAGAGATCTGTGGCGCTGGCCCCTCGCTGCGAGGTCCCTTGCACTGAACGATCCTATTGCCTGATTGTCAACGCCGGAAAGGGCGGTTGCTTAGCGATGGCGCATTCTGTCTCTAGAAGGCTGAGCGGCGTTGGGCCGCCCGCTTATCCAATCGGAGCGCGGATTTCGAGTAGGTGGTGCTGGAGCCGCCGCTTGTTACCAGGGCAACGGGTTCGGTTCCCAAACGGCGCGCGGGCGCTACAGGTTTGGGGCGGGGAGGGGAGAGGCCGACCAGGGCTCCAGGCCGTAGGGCGCTAAAGTCCGTTAGCGGTTGCTCCTCGCCGGGCGGTCCCTTTGCCTGTGAGAGGATGGTGAGTTAGCAGTGACCCGTGTGGAGGAGCGGCGAGGCTCTGGGCCGAGCGGGATGGGAGGGTAGGGGAGAGCGGCGAGGCCCTGGGCCGAGCGGGATGGGGTGGAAGGCTGCCGCTTCATGCCTGCTGCATTGTGTGCATTGCCTATCTCATTCACTCCTGGCGATGGCATTTGAGGTAATTATGTGTCGTTATAAATCTTGCGATAAATCGGATTGTGCGGTAAGTGAAGGAGAATTTGAACCTAGATTATTCTCAAAAAGAAAAGGAGTACTTGTGGCACCTTAGAGACTCACCAATTTATTTGAGCATAAGCTTTCGTGAGCTACAGCTCACTTCATCGGATGCATGTCTTCTGCAGTTTCCACAGTATGCATCCGATGAAGTGAGCTGTAGCTCACGAAAGCTTATGCTCAAATAAATTGGTGAGTCTCTAAGGTGCCACAAGTACTCCTTTTCTTTTTTGCGAATACAGACTAACACGGCTGCTACTCTGAAACCTAGATTATTCTGTCATGAGTCTCCAGAGGGCGCTCCGTTACAAAACTCTTCCTTTTTTCCCCACGCAGGAGTCGATGAGGCCTCCCCAGCTGAATGCTGCCCAGCTGAATCAGAAAAAGATGAGGGAGTTGTATTACAAAGATCTCCTCCAATTGGCACATGAAAAAAAGGTGGAGAGAATCAGGCAATTGGAGGTGATGTTGGAAGCTGAGGAACGGGTTGATCAGAAGCGACTCTCAAGATTGCTGAAAGATGAAGAGTATGAAAGGCAGATGGAGGAAGCTATTCAAAAAGTGAGTACTTATTTGTGTTCCTGTGGTGTCTATCACATATGCTAGTTGCTGTTCACACATACGCACATGAAGATACTGTTCTGGCTTGGGAAAATTCACAACCTAAGATGACATGCAACATATAAAGGGTTGGAGTGAAGGATAAAAAATATGCGTAAAATAATCAATGTCTAAAAGTTCCCAAACCTACTATTATTTAGCTAGTGTTACAGGCAACATAGCAGAGTGAGTAATTTGCAGGGCTTCTTATAGTTTTCATTGCGTTTATATGTAAGAGTTTCAAAATGGTAACATGGACAGAATAACAGGCTATATGAATATCATAGTGTAATTTTGTTCACTGAAGACAAAAGATATATATGAACATAGCATTTAGTCTAGAGAAAGGTATTCTTTAAAGCTGTACATTATAAATACATATTGTACACTAGAGCCATCCAAAGCGTGTGTATGTATATATTTACAGTTGTATATTAACACAATATATCATGTTTAACTGTAATATATGTGATCAGAAGCATTATTTAACCTGTTCCAGAGTAATTGCAGTGATAGATCCCCAAAGAAAGTAAACTCTTCCATTTTCAAATGGTTCTTTCTTTTCCAAATGTCCAGATTAATTTGCTTTATTCCTTACCTGTCCTATATTTATAAGAAATTTCTATTATGATTGCATTGTCTACCTTCAAACAGTAATCTACTGAATGTTACTATAGGTTTTATGGCATGTCCCTCATCCTCAATATATATTAATGCACCCATGCCATGCTTTATAACATGCATTATATTTAAATTTGTATGGATCACATTCTAGCACTGTAACAGCACACAAGGAAAGAACATGGCTTGTTAATTGAAAAACAAGTACAGCTCGATGCAAATTGCTGTGGTGGATCAAACCATGATCCATCATCCTGTCCCAGACATTTTCCAGCCCTAATTATTTCAGAGGAAGAAACCCTGCAAGGAGGCAGTTATGGTGTAACTTGTCCCAAGGGAAAGTTTTCTCCCAGTCTCAACACTTAGAGGTTGGTTTATGCTCCAAAGTGTGAGCATTTATGTCCTTTCCAAATCTTGTTTTTTAATTGACTTTTATAATTGAATATTCTTATTATCAGTCTGTTTAAGAGAATGAGTGTATGAAATGTCTGCGGGGGAAACTGTTACAGAAATTATTTGCTCTGGTCAGGCAGAAGAAAACAAAAAACTGAAAGAGCTGCAGCTGGAGCAGGAAGAAAGACTGGCAACTGAGTTGGCAAGATTAAACTATGAAAAACTTAAAGATGAAAAAATGAGGCAGCAAATAAGAGAGAACAGGTATTTTAAAACATAGAATAAATACAGTAATCTCATTTTTAATTCATAAATAAAATTCCAGTACTGTAAAACTGATTCATGCTGAATTTTGAAAATTGTATTTCAAAACCTATTTATTTATATTGAAGTAATGGAATAATTCCCATTTATTATTTTGTTTTACAACTGGGGTTGAGCCCTAATTCAGATGCCACAGGATAGGATGCAGTGAAAGGTGCCCTCAGGCAAGGGAGGGAAGTTTAAATAAACTAAGGGCTTGTCTACACTGGCACCTTACAGCGCTGCAACTTTCTAACTCAGGGGTGTGAAAAAACATTCCCCCTCTCTCCCCCGCCCCCGAGCGCTGCAAGTTTCAGTGATGTAATTTGCCAGTGTAAACAGTGCATCTTTGTGGAGGTGGGCTTTTTAGAGCGCTTGGGAGAGCTCTCTCCGAGTGCTGTGCCATGACTACACAAGCCATGTTAAAGCACTGCCCCGGCAGCACTTTAACGTTGCCAGTGAAGACATGCCCTAAGATTATGAGCCTGTTAGTTTTTGAAAGGGACATCATGCCTGGTTTCTTTTTTTTAAGACTAATGTATGTATGTTAGATTGGTAAGGGAAGGTGGTTCATTTTTGGAGAAACTGTGGAGAGGAGGTGGGTTTTGAGGAGGGATTAAAAGAATAGGAAGATTGCAAAGCATACAAAATTGGGGAGGACATTTCAGACACAGGTGGAAGGGAGAGAAAACAGTTGTGTGTGGGGAGGATACAAAGAGGACAAAGAAGGAAGCAGAATCAGAGAATCAGAGACCCCAAGCAACACAGTGGCAAGAGACGAGATGGAGGCAAGATAGAATTTGGTGGATTCTAGCAGGCAAGGAGTTTAAATCTAATCTGGAATGAGAAGTCAGTCGGGATAGCAGAGTGACAGACTTTCATTATTTACAATTCTGGTCAATTTCAATGAAGTTTCTATTTCTTTCCCTCTCACTCTCTCTTGTCTCTTTTTTCTGACTCTTTCATGGCTGCTACTCTTTGGCCCATTTTAAAAATCTTTTTAAAGTTAATTGCTCCCCCCGCTCAAAGAAAAAGAGGCAAGTGGAGTGCGGGAAGACAAGTGCGGGAAGACGTTTGACAACTGACAGTTTTCATGATCAGTCCTGAAATCTGTCATGCTCTGGCACAGCTATGGAATCATGGAAAATTACAAGCCCTGACTGTAACATTAACTCCTTATTAACATACTATTGGTGTTAACAGACTAGACAAAATTCTGTGTGTGGTTTCAGCAGTGCCGATTTTTCATAAATTTAAAGCATTTAAAGCACAGATTTTAAGTCATTCACGTCAATTTTTAAAAAGTTAGTAAGAAAGATATTTTTTAAATATTCTGATTTGTTAGAAACTGAAGATTTTTAGGGCCAAATTTTGCTTTCAAACATGAGTATACAAATAAGCATTGACATCAATAAGAGTTGCACTAGGGGAAGAATTTGTCCCTTAAAATTAGTTTAGTTTTTCTACTCCTTTAACAGAGGGATAAGTTTCCTTTTAAAATGGAATAGCCACATCAGTTTTAGAAACACAATATTTAAATGATTTTTTAATTACTCATGTGCTTAAGAATGTTAATATGGTTAAAATAAGAACCAGTTCAAACCTTACTGAACGAATACTTTTCCTCTCATTCAATGATACCTTTCACAAAACCTTGTCCAAGAAAAGTGGTTTTTCTTTTTTGGGGGGGTATGCTTGATAAAATTAAAGACAGAATGACATGGAATACCAGAGCTTGTTGGTTTTTTTTAAGCATTAGTACAGTTTCCCATATAACTTCAAAAGTGGCAGCTGGTCATGTAGTGCAATGCTTGAATTACATATCTCCAATAATAGTCCAAGCATGCACCATCTTCTGTGTTCACCAGCTCATTTCTAGCCTACATCAAAATTATGATGAGGAACAATGGCTAGCTATTTCAATGAGGAGGACAGAGCATTAATGATTTTTACAGCTGCTAGTTACAAAATACAATGTAGCAAGTGGATATCATGTCAGTAGATTATTAAATGACATTGACATTGAGGAGATTAGATAGAATTAAAAAGATACTACCAGTTTATGCAGCAATTTAAAGTCAAGATAAGTAGGAATCCAGGTTAATCCTTGAATACTGTATATTAGTTAGGGAAAGAAGCTTAGTGATTGTTCTGTCAGTGATCACTCTAGCTTCAAGTTGGCCTCTATGAAAAAGGTTTTAGAATAACCTTTTATAACTTTGCGGTAAACAAAAGACCATTGATACCAGCTCCTCATTATGCTTTCCATTTGTCTTGTTTGACTGTGGTATCGCTTATCTCTATGGCTCTTCAAATCCTACCTCTCCAAACTCCAGTATGTACAAAAAATCATAACTCCATCCTCAAATAATTTGTCTTCATTTCAAGCTTCACTTTAAATTTGCATTCCATGAGTGAAATCCTGGTCCATCTGAAGTCAGTGGAAATTTTGCCATTGACTTAGATAGGGCCAGGATTTCCCCCATTTTTAAAAATCCTCCACACAGATCTTTTGTCTCTCTTCTTTCCACCATCTAGCATAGACTTCTTCCCTCTTTCCTGGAAAAGTCTTAAAGTATTTCTCATCAACTCTCCATCTTCTTTTCTATCTTGCCTATGTTTCTTAGACATTCTCTTTCTGTACTGTTCTTTTTACATGTGAAACATACCTATTTTAATTATTTTTTCTAATTTTAACTAAATATCTGTAAACTATCATGCACATCTAAACAGGTGCCCAACTGCATGATTTCTTTTTACATTTCTTAGTTGGTTCTTAATTAATGCTGATGTCCTTTAATACTTGACACTTAGTACAGTTAAATAATGTGGAAACAGCAATAATAAAGTGAAGCAGCAGTTGCTTTAGTAGCTCACCATCTGCAAACTGTTGTAGGTTGTCATAAATATTGGAAAAAAATGTACAGTTCTCAATATAGTTTTATTTTAAAACCATTCTATCCCCTTATTTCAGTTTTAATTTGAGTTCAGCTGCTGGTCCATTTCTGACTTCATGTCCAGTGCTATGTCATCTCAGCTCTCCAACACTTGATCTGGCCTCTGATTTACGTATTATGTAATGGGCCAAATTTTTCGCGCAGTTTACATTCCTGCAACTCAATTAACTTCAATTTTTTTCATTCTCATTGACAAAAAAAATTGTTTTTGCAGTCTTGAACTTCGAGAATTAGAGAAGAAACTGAAATCTGCTTATATGAATAAGGAAAGGGCTGCCCAGATTGCTGAAAAAGAAGCTATAAGATATGAGAAAATGGTAATTTGTTTTTCTGACTTTCACTAAACAAAGGTCCATTTATTGTGTTAAATAACCTCATCCTAGAAGAAAAATATAATAGTATTAAAGACTTTTGGTCTATTATAATAAAAATGTGAAATGATTTCCTGAAGAAAACTAATTGAATTCCAGTAAAGAGGAATTGTATGTTCAAATGTCTTAGAAAACTCATAGGTCCCAATTCAGGAAAGTCACTTTTTAAAGCACGTGCGTAAGTTCCCCTAAAGTCAATGGGACATAAGTATGTGTTTAAATGCACTTGTGAATAGGGACACTTTCCTGAATTCAAGTCTTACAAAACTGTTTTGCCTCTTTGCAGCCTGAGCAGTCTGCTGTTTGCTTGTGGATGTATTCAGGAGACACAGTGCTCTGCATCAGGACAACCTCCAAATTCTTATATTCTCCTGGGGGTTGTAGAGCAGCTCTGGGTTGGCAGTAGTGTATTGGGATTTAACTCAGTTCCACATTGCCTGCACACTCCTACTCCATGTCTTCAATCAAATTTTCTATTTCTTTCCACCCTGCTGGAGTTATTCCAGTCAGTAACTTAATTGGTAGCCTTGTTGGGTGAGGAGATATTGTGACATTGTGGGGAAGAGGAGGAATTACCTGCCAGGATTGAGCACTACCTCCCCCATCCTAGTGGCTAGAAATGAGGGGGGGGGGGCACTTCTGCCATCTGTTACAGATAGCATTCTGACACAAATGCAGGAAATTCCCTCATTCTGTCTTCTCCATTAAAATTGTCAGTTAAAATAGCCTGGCTGATTCACCCACCCCATGCTAGAACATAAGGGAACACACTTAGCTTGTTAAGTATATTTCCTTATGTTATTCCCAAGAGCCTGATTCCCATATGAAAGTATGTCTCTGTGTGAAGAAGAGCAGCCCGGATGTAATGCCAACTTTGACATTATGTGGCATTTTCTGATGGTTTGGTATGATGATTCTATGCCTTAAAAAGAGTACTGCTTCCATGAGTGTGCAGCCCAGGAGGCTTACAGAGACTCCCTGGGTCAGAAGCCATGATGAATTAGAGATGACTGGAAGAGAGCCCTTTGGTAGGAACTATGCTGTTGACTTTTGATAGCGTAAACACCAATGACTAAAATATTTATTTTTACATAATGACAGGAATTATTTTGATTTCTAGACTAGGTACTGTAACAACTAGAATTTAAACCTTTTTGTATATGATAAAGTCTTCATTCCTATTTTTCATTGCTGCTAATTAGCCAGCAAGTCAAATATGCAGGCTTGTATTTACCACTGTGTACAAATTCAAAATTGAGTTAAGAGGCTGAATAATCATTGTGGTGCATGGAAAGTAAGAGACTGATCCGGCTGTCATTGAAATCAGCCTGTTTTGTCTTTCACTTAAGTTGGAGCAGGTTCATCCTCCTCATTCTCAGCAACAGCTGAAAATAAGCAACTATGCTGAAAGTGTCTCCCTTAAAGTTAGCCTAATTGTGAAGCTGATTTATCTCAAATGTCATTAGAGTTAAGGGTCTAATAATTTGTTGTATATCTTATTTTGTTATGAAAGGCTAATTAGTTGATAGTATTTGACCATAGCAAAGAAGCTTAGTTTATAGCAACAATCAGAGCAATAGTTAATTAAATTGAATGGTGAAATATAATATCAAATTATTTTAAATGTTTAACACAGTCTCTTCTTTTGCAATATGATCCCTTCCCAGAATTAAGCTATAGCAAACAGCAACAGTGCATTTTTACAGTGGGTGGTTAGTGTGGTGATTTTAGAAATACACTGGTATTTTATTGCTATTTAAAGTATTGGTATTTTATTGCTATTAAATGTATATTTAAAGAATTTCAGAAAACAATTGTGGATGCTGTTAATGTGTGTGATAATGCTGACAAACAGGCAGGTAACTTTGATTATGTCATCATTCTAAATTAGTACCTTTTTCTTTTGATGTATTTTGCTAGAAAGAAAACATTTTTATTAAAGATGGTCTGCAGAGCTAAGCCACCATATTCCAGTGACCTTTCAGAATTCATCAATAGCTAGGCTGTGAGAGGCATTCTGCATAGTGTTACATACATATCTTCTTTTAGGTGCTGGGGTAATATGTGCTCATCCCTTACCTGATAATTCAACACACGTTGGTAATTATATTTTTAGGTCATCTTTCAGGATAAAAACATTCACTTCATTTTTGTGGTACAATAAGATGCTATAAGATTGCTTGTATATACTTTATAGTTTTTCATTCCAGATTATACTCGTAAGAGGAGGGAAAAATCTTACAATGTTTTTAACAACAGAAACGTGATGCCGAAATATCACAAAAGATGAAGGAAGAGCAGGAAAGGGTGATAATGGAAGAGAGTTCTGCAGAACTGAGGCGAAATAAGGAGAAAATACTTTATCAGCAAGAACTGGAGAAACAGCTTGAGGAACAAGAAAAAAAGAAGCAGGATGCTTATGAGGAGTTTCTAAAAGAAAAACTCATGATTGATGAAATCGTAAGGAAGATCTATGAGGAAGACCAAATGTTAGTTGTTTTTGGTTTTGTATTTTTTAGCAAAAATGTTCATGTGATCACATATAAGATGAGCTAATTTGTGTATGTTTATTTCACAAAATGTGGCCCCAATTCAGGAAAGCATCTCTATTCAGGAAAGGTGCTTAAGCACATGCTTTAAGTTAAGCACATCCTTAAGTATTTTCCTGAATAGGAATGGACTGAAGCATGTGTTTTTCCTGATTTGGGCATAAGTACTTTTGTCGTCCAGGTCAGGTTTTGCTGTTGCTGACCAGTTGTGAAGTTTGCAGCTTATTTCAAGGAGTACTTCCTTGATTTTCTTTACCCCAGAAATGGCTACATAACACAGATTTCAACCTTTCATGGTTGCACATGCCTACCTGACACAGACTCACCTATCCAGCCAGACTGTTGTATGTGGCAGCTTGGCTCTTGGGAATGGCTAGGGGAAGGAGGTTTTATTCTGGGTGGCTGATTTAAGTTAATCAGGAAGACAATTGAGTTTCTGCTTTCTGAAACATTTCTGCTCTTAAAGTATGTTTCCTGGAGCTTACAACTCCAAAATAGAGCTCAGCCAGTGATATTAAACTGTGCCACATGAACTGTGCTCTCTGTAGGCGTATGCCTGGGCACAGTGCCAAGTTCTGTAGAGTAGCTATTTATAGCCTTAAACCACCCGAAGAAAGGTATTTATGGCATAAGAACTTCTTTTAGATGGAGTACAATAATAGGCAATTGGGAGGGTCTTTGGGACACTAGGCACCTATTTTTTTTTCCCTAAGGGGATATGTTATTTACAAGGAGTGAGAGTATATTAATAAAAATCAAGGTATAATTTTTAGAAGAATTATTTAGGTATTTACATTTTTGTACCTTCATATAGGGAAAGACAACTCAAGTTAGAGAAAATGAGAGCAACTCAGAAATACATAGAAGAATTTAAAAAAGAACAGGCTATTTGGAGGAGAAAGAAGCGTGAAGAAATGGAAGCAGAAAATTGGAAAATAATGGAGTTTGCCAACATGCAGCAGCAAAGAGAAGAAGATCGGATGGCTAAAGCTCAAGCGAGTGAGGAAAGAAAACAAAAGCTCCAGAACATGGTATTAGAATAGCTACTAAAAACTTTGAAATCTTACAAAATGTCTGATATGTCATTTAAAAACGTTTCTTACTCGTGTTTTAATAGATTGCGCAGAATCTGGAAAGAGAGCAACAGGAGCGTGAAGACCTGGAACAAGTGCGACAAGAGCTATATCTTGAGGAACAAGCTGAGGCAGATAGAAAAAGGGAGATGGTAGGTGTTTGCAAGTGGTTAAAACAATAAGTATAAAGTATAATATTTTTCCCAGGACCAAATTTTCCTGTTAGATATGCACATGGGTCTTCCACTGAAGAGTTCCAGTGGGAGCTGGCACAAGGATCTAATGTGAGAATTTGGCCCTTCATGCAGTGGGCTCCTTTAAGTGGTGTTTTGTGTTACCTTAATAGTTCAGGCACAGATAAACCAGTGTGGATAGGAGGCAAAAGATAATGATGTTGCCATACTTCTTGCAGAAGATTCAGAGACATAATGGGGCATAGTCCCAAAGAAGTACAGAAAAGAATATTTAGTCGTGTATATACAATAATGAAGTATCTTGCCAAGTATTTACAGCACTAGCTAAACTCAGTTAGCCAACTCTGTAATTTAGGTTGTTTTACTCCTTTTGATGACTGGTGCAGGATCAGTGCTTAGAAAAGTTTGATCCTGAAAGAATTTGAACAGCATCCATCAAAGTGGAAGCTCTAGTATTTGTAAAATATCAAACTATAAAATGATGTTATGATTACCATCTTGCATTTTTCTACACCATCAATTCTGACATGACTTTGGCAGCTGCTATCTCGCAAACAAGACTTATATATAGGTTTATGCTTATTGCATTTGAAAGTTGGGTTCCAAGTTTAAGATGGTAACAAGTACTTAAAGCAGTTTGGCTACTTTTAATATGAATTTCCATACTTTCAAGGGTTTTAAGTTTCTTTCGTGTTTAATTATAATGTTGAATATCTTGACTTTTTAATGGTTTATTTGTTCAGTGTTCTTGTAAGGATTTTATCCTTAAGCTATTGATACATACTGCCAGTCTTAACATCAACTTAAAGGTTATTTGTATGAACATGTATTAATATTTGATATAGTCCTAATGTGACACTGGGGAGAGCAGAAAGGTGACAGGCAAGCTGACTTTGAAGTCTGCAGAAATGGAGCCTCACTCTTGCTCCCCTCTTGATATGCACAGGAAGAGAATTCCACTGTTGTGGAAATTGAGGTGTAGGAGATAATGGAGAGAGTAAGATGGGTATGGAAGGCAGTACATCTCAGGGCATTCCTTTTTTCCTTTCCTTCAATGCTTCTGCAGGATCACTGCTTGTAGACCTTGGGAAATGCCTGGAGTAATGCTCCATCTGGGTGATAGCCCAAGAGCTCTCCAGAGGCATGTAGGCACTCAGCTGGGAGTGAGCCTCCCAGCCTGGGTAGAGACTCATGCTGCTTGGGCTGGAAGGCTTGCTCCCAGCTACAGTGTAGACATACCCTAGGAAACTTGTGAGCAGGTCTGTTAACCTCTCCCTGAGAGTCTTAGAATGCTCTTCTGGGGCCAAGTACCACCCTCCCACCATCCACCTAGTATAATTCTCCCTCAACAATCCCCCTTTAGAATTGTTCATGGGCTGACATCCCTATTTAAGCTTCAGAGTGGTAGCCGTGTTAGTCTGTATCAGCAAAAAGCAAGTACTCCTCTTTCTATTTAAGCTTGTTTGGATCTGCTAACTCTAATGAGGCTGTTGGTAGTTTGGGGGTGGTTGTGAGGGAATTCAGTGAGTCTGTTGTGATTTCTGAGGTGCCCCAACAAGCATCCTGTATCTTGAAGAATTGGGGAATTAGGGTGAGATGCACTGGATAAACTTAATTTAAATTGTATCCCCTTCCATTATCAAACTAGGATCTGGCAAAAAAAAAAAAAAAAAAGTTAGTTTCTAACTGTGGTGGCCATTGCCTTTTTTAAAAATGTGTTCTTAACTTACGAACAGCTTGTTCAACTGACTTCAGTTCGGGGGGTGGGAGAGAGAGAATCTTTTTGCCACTGACAAGCCTCTTTGGCAATTGGTTTACATTTTGAGGTTTACTTTTTCATGGAAGAGAGCTGGAGACTATTTTTAAAAAGTTTAGGTCTCAGATATTCTTATGACAGTTTGTTGGAGCTAATGATCCATTCTCTTTGAAAATGTCAATAACTTGAAAATTCAGGTTTAATCAACTAGACTTCGCACTTGTGCCCTAGATCACAAATAGATGAGTCTGGTGCATGCTACTAGCTTGGTTATTTTTCACTACATGGTGGTGCCAAAAAAAAAAAAAAATCAGACTTTGAGTTCTTAACATAAATTTTTTTAGGATGCCATTCAGGAGTAGCTTGTTCAATTCACTTTGTAGAAAAATTTTACATTTGCCCCAGACCTAACCTACCAGTTTTAGATTCTTTTGTGGATTTAGAGAGGGCATATGACAATACTGGAATTATCATAGAAATACCATTGCAGTCTTGACTATGGAATGTCTACCACTTCTACATAATTCTGAAGTGCACTTATTTATTCTGGAAGACCACAGTTACAATAAATAATCCAAAAGATTGTTCCAGAGAAGATTATCCCAGATATTGTTTTTCAAATGTCACATGACAAAATAGCAAAATATATCAACTTCTTTGCTTGATCCTCCATTAAGTCATGTTTACTGTGGCTAAATGAGAAGGCATTAGAAGGGTCAGCATTTTATGGCACTTATCCTGCACTGTATAGTTACGGTATACACTTTTTCCCTAATACCATCCTTGCTGGTTTTAGGAATGACAGCCCCAATAAACAAATGCAAATCCTAATGTAAAAATCTTTTTGAAGAATGGGAGAATCTTGTAGGTCCCCAGGAATATACTATTTATTTCAATTCAGATACTTACCTGAGCCCCTCCTTATGGGTTTAAACATAGACTGGTTGACAGTATTTAACTGGATGCAAGGATACAAAGATGTAAGTATGGGTAGATATGGTGCACAGTGTTTGCAGTGTATTAGCATTTTGTTGGCTTTTCTCTATAGGCAGAAATGGAGAAGAGAATTAGGCAGCGTCTAGAGTTAAGGCAAACATATGAAGCACAATTAGCCTTCAAGAAGATAGTACTACAAGCTTTGCAAGAAGAAGAAGAGACCTTCAGACAGAAGATGTTAGCGAAGTTTGCAGAGGATGATCGCATTGAACAGATGAATGCTCAGAAACGAAGAATGAAACAACTTGAGCACAGAAAGGCAGTGGAAAAACTTATTGAAGAGCGTCACAAACAGTTCCTTGCAGACAAAGTAAGGAGATTCTCTTTTTTTTTCTCCTCTAGATTTCGATATGATCTTAAAGCTTACTAAAATTATGAGACAATATTTGCAGCAGTTTGTTAGGATTGCTGCTTTCCTTTCCATATCCTTAATCAAGGAATGGGGAATTCTTTTTGCTTTTTATTTTGCAGGGAGAAAAGTCACCTAATTTTGGCTAAACTTTCAATGAATGTATTAATTTAGGCCCTGATCCAGCAAGTAGATCCACTATCCTGGATCTCTATGTACACAGGGAACTCTGTTGAAGTCAACAGACTCTGCAGGGGTCAATGCTAGCATACATACTTGCCACAACAGGGGTTTAGTGTGGTGTTTTAGGTTACTTATTCAGAATTTAATTTAATTAAATTACTTTAAATTAATTATTTAATTACTTATTCAGCATTAATTTAAAAATCGAACATGCTGTTGTCTTTAAATGATGGTTTAGTCCATCTCTGTGTACACAGGGAACTCTGTTGAAGTCAACAGACTCTGCAGGGGTCAATGCTAGCATGCATACTTGCCACAACAAGGGTTTAGTGTGGTGTTTTAGGTTACTTATTCAGTTTTAATTTAATTACTTTAAATTAATTAATTAATTACTTATTCAGCATTAATTTAAAAATCGAACATGCTGTTGTCTTAAAATGATGGTTTAGTCCAAAGAATTTATTTTAAAAATTTAAATTACAAAATTCTCTTTTGAGATTTAAGCATCTCTTTCCAAAGGAATCATAGCACAGGAAAGGAAGCAGATTCATGTTAATGTTCACTTACTTGGCTCACACTCAAAGAAGGGGAATGTAATCAGTCTACATGTTTTACATACAAAATTAGGAGTAAAAGTATGTGAACTGATTCACTGAATCTTATTTCTATAGTAGAGTAAAATATAAGGGGGAAAGTTATTACTCTAATTTATACTCACATACACAGTATGAAAATTTTCCATATCTGTTTAAAGTAGATGACATATCACATGTTAATCCAACTAAATAGCAGTATATTAGCTTTGGAGTCAAAAAGCACCTTTCTTATCTTGGATATTTTAACATTCTCCTTCGACTTAAAACACATATTCAAATACTTGTAGGTAGGTAGAGATACAAAATCATTACTAAATGTAAAACATTTGTTTCATATTTAAACTCTCATTACTATAGGAATTAAAACACTCAGTACCAGATTTAATGGCTCTTATCGCAAAAAGTGACAAACACAAAATCAATCTATTGAAAATGACATTTAAATATGTTCGCTCCAGAATCTTAGCACTTCATCATAGTTTTGATTTATCAAAGGCCATTACACTATTTTAAATACTGACGGGTACATGGCTGTGTAGCATACTACAATTTAGACTTTAAACCAATACTGAATGTACATTTCCTTAAAGGAAATTATTAGGAATTAAAGGATTTAATTGACAGATAAATTGCTCTAACATTGTATATATGAAACAAATCCAATTACTTATCACCTGCAGTAGCTATCTGAGATTCCCTTATCTGAATTTTTTTTAAAATGATAGTCAAAGGTGCTAAGCAATGTCTAACAAGTTCAATTTTACTTTGAAAGTGATTATGTATAAATGACTTTCTTATGCAGTGGATCTGCTTCTTGTGTGTATTCAGTATCATTTGCTCACTGTATTAACAAAGATGAGTTTCTTGCTTTTTGCACATTAGTACTGTTCTGTTCCTTTTTATACATCAGTAGAATTGTTTACTAAATTTCAAATCAGCTATACCTGTGCAAGCCTGTTAAAGATAATCAGGGTTGTATGGATGTTACTGAGGATTCAGTTTGGCCTGTGGAACCTTTATTACTGATATACTGGAAGGAAAGAACCCTGCCTGACTGCTAGGTTTCAGGTTGAGTCCAGGGTTGGCATTTGGGGAGGAAAAAGCTTACCTGTAAACTAAGAAGAATTGACCTTTAAATCATTGAGAATTATGAGCGTTGGTTTCAATGTATAAACTGTACTTTGTGGTAGATTAATGTGTGTAATTTCCTGTCTATCAGTGTGAGAACGTATATTTTCTTTTCTGGTTTCTTTTGCTGGACACACTTTATCTTGTTTGAAAACACTTTTAGATCACAGGGAATTGTATCTTCATGTATTAGTCTTTAAAGAGGGACTTTTGTAAACATGTAAGCAGCAAAGTAACTTAAACTCTTATCTTTCAGAGGCTTATAATTTCTCATCTCAGGTTTTCTAATGATTAAAATTATGCATTTAAACAATAATTTGCTCCTTCACAGCCGCCTCCTCCTCCTGTTTAAATGTTGAATTTGTGTTGTTTCAGCAACAATCATAACAAAAAACTTGTTACTTTCTTGCAAGATGATGCAAAAGCTGAACAATTAAAATGGAAGCCCTTGGTTTGCTCTATTGACAAAGACTTTCTTTACTAGTTTATATATGTGGTTGAAATTAATTTTCATAAAACAGAAATAGAAGGGTAATGAAGACATGATGTTTTCTGTAGGAGCGTGAACTTGAAGAAAGGCAATTGGAAGAGAGAAGACAAGGAAATATTCATGCAATTGTTGAAGAAGAGAGACAGAAACTTCTTAAAGAACATGCAACTAAATTATTGGGGTATCTTCCTAGAGTAAGTGAATTATATTTTCTCCTAATACTTGAAATGTTCATCCCATAAATTTGTTTTCTCTTAACTATTTTATTTCAAGGATAATTTCTGTAACTAATGTAATTTTTAAAAAATATATTGCGGCTACATTCCTGCACTCAGTGCAGGCCTGTGTGAGGGGTACACAAGCAAAAACTCATTTTGGCTTTCTGTAGTTGTGTGGAGGTTGGAGGGGCTGCCCAGCTCTTAGCATAAGCAAAGGCAGCCTGCAGGCTGTGCTGAGTCTGCTTCTCATGATCTCGCTGAGTCCTGGGAAGCAGAGAATTGCTAAAGTGCAGAACATTCAGCCATGTTTCTCCCTCCTCCAACATATCCCCTATGGCAGGAGAAGCAGGGCTGGAGTTGGAGGCTTATACATCAGCTCTAAATCAGCCAGAAAGTCCCCCTTAACTTAAGGTATTTCCCAGTCACAATTTCCAATAGCTTTCTGCTGCTGGAAGGTATACAGGGAATGGATCCTAACAGTGAATCTGGCCTTGTCTCCGTGATAACTAGCCCTTTACCTGTGGCAGTGAAATAAATTACTCAGGTATTTAGAGGAACCTCAAACCTCATTCTAGCAGTTTGAAAGTTCAAAAGGTAAGGAGGGACTGCTTCACATTAATGAACTGTGAAATGTAGTTGAAGTATAATTATAATGAGTGTCTTAGACTACACAGGTTTCAGAGTAGCAGCCGTGTTAATCTGTATCTGCAAAAAGAACAGGAGTATGCCTGTTCTTTTAGACTACACAGATGATCAGAGAGCTTGCATTCAGAATGAACACAAGACATTTGTAACTACAACAGTGAAGGGGTTAATCAGATACTTGAAGAAATAGGATTTACAGTAATATTTCTAAATATGCAGATACCCTGTTAAATGTGACGCCTAACACATTCATTAATTGTATTTTAATTCAGAGCACGCAGGTGTGAATTTGTAAACCTTAGAAGGTTGAATTTCCGAATTCTACCTAACCCTTTGCTAATGTGGTGGTTCTTACAGAGAGGGAATAATTACATCAAGATATGCCAGATAGGCCTTTTTTTTCATTTGGTTTTTTAATTAACTGATGGGAATTTGTGTGTTTCTCATGGTGTTGAAGGCACATCTCCTGTGTGCATTCATTCCTTTCCTTCATTCTTTGGGTTTGTTGGTTTAGCTTTACCTATTGCATTGTTTACACATGCTGTATACTCCTGAAGTGACAGGTTTCAGAGTAGCAGCTATGTTAGTCTGTATCCTCAAAAAGAGTACTTGTGGCACCTTAGAGACTAACCAGTTTATTAGAGCATAAGCTTTCGTGGGCTACAGCATCCGAAGAAATGGGCTATAGCCCACAAAAGCTTATGCTCTAAATTTGTTAATCTCTAAGGTGCCACAAGTACTCCTGTTCTTTTTACTCCTGAAGTGAGTTATTATGAAGGGAAGATGTCTTAAAGTTTAACTTTCAGACATTAAGATAAGTGGAATTTCCCCCGCCCAAATTCCAGAAATAATTGCAGCAGGGATTGACTTTTACTTGCCAGTTGTGCACCTTAGGAGAACACATAAGGAAATAAAAAAAAAAATTTGAACTGCATTAAACTGATAAAATGCAGGTGTAGGTTATAAGTACTAGAATATAACACATAATTCTTTCAGCATGGGACATTAAAAGTTGTTTGTTTGTTTTATTTTCAGATCGTCTTGCACTAGCATAATGGTTCGCCATTTGGGATTGCAAATCGTTAAAGTGAATTTGTTTTTTCAAATTCTAATTATGGCTTTTGTTTTGTGTAATAACTGACTTTAACAGAACGTAAGTTTGTGGTCAGATGTGACCTGACCAATGTCTCTTTAATGCAGTTCCTGGATTTTTATAAATCCGGCAGGTTGGTTCTGTGCTGTGGCCCTTACAAGAGATACCCAGTATGTTTACACAGGAAAAGCTGTGTATAGGCTAGCCTAAAGCTAAATTGAATCCAGCGCTAGCACAGGTAATCATAATAAAGACAGCACCGTGTGGCCTTCAGTTCTGATAGTACAAGCCTCGCATGGACCCTGGACATCTCGTTTCACTAGCCCATGCTGTGATGTCTTCACAGCTATTATTACCTCTGTTAGCTGGATTCAAAGTAGGCTAGTGCATGCATAACTTCTGCTATGTACATATCCTCACTTGCATTGGTAATAAGCTCTATCACAAACAAATAATACTTGTCCTATTATGTGATGGCAGAAGCCATTATCCTCACTGACTTCACATCCCCACTGAGAACTAAAACGATCAGGCAAGATTTTTATAACTTTTAGCCTCCTTATTAAAGACTCATCTTAACAGCAGTTTAAAATAAAATTCAACCTCTAAATTGTGCTTCTTTACAAAAGGAACAGCCTACTCACTCATTTTTTATTTTCAAATTTCATAATAGTACCACAGGCACTCTACTACAGTGCCTTGCATATACATTCCTAAGATACAGTCAAGAATAATGTATGTATTCTTGGGCCAAATATACAGGAGCTAAATAACATGCACAATGTTTAATCCCCTTTCTCTTTAATTGCAGGGAATACTCAAAGATGAAGAGGATGTTAATATGCTTGGTGAAGAGTTTAGGAAGGCTTATCAGAAGAGAAAAGAGGACGTGTATTCAGAAGATAACTGAAATTCCCCATAATTTGTTTTGTTGCATACCACTAGATGTCATCTTATTTCTACATGCTGTTAATAGTGAGAAATTCCTGTTTAATGTTATGAGAAAGGGTCTCGCTTTAGTACTAAGCTTTTTCTAAATGGTTACAAGATCTACAGTTTTTAAGTCAATGTTGTAGTCAGTTTGGATCAATAAATTTTGCTATTACAGTATTTCTCAAACAATGCATGCATAATAAAATGGACTTGCTAAGGGAATTCACTTTAGAAACTGATTCATGGACAGATTATAGGAATTCAGTTACATTAGGAAATGTCTTAGCTTATGAAGGAGTATTGTCACAACCACAGGACAAGTAAAACTTTTATTTCCTCGAGTGCACCAGGGGACAGGTTCACTACTTTCACTCCTCTGTGTGGTACTATGCAGTTTTATCCACAGTTGGGGTTTGTCCATACAGGGACACTCAGGAAAAATAATCTGAATTAACTAAAGGTGTGAATTTGAAGTGATTAGTTAAACTACACTAAATCCCTTTGTTGACACTCATTCAGAATAAAAATAGCCTTAATTTGATTTAGCTTAATTCACTTTAGAACCTGTAAAACCCTTCTCTTACAGCAGCTGATTAAAGTGAATCAAAAACAGCTTCTTCAAAATAAAGCATTGTTTAGACACCCAAAGGTAAACAACACACCGAACAAAGGGTTAAAATAAAAGCATATATGGATGGGTCTTAACAAAACCATATCTTTCCTTAGAAACTTCAGAACAGTTCTCTCTATTGCTGGGTTGGGAGAGAGAGGCTGCTTGCTCCAGTCTGTCTTCTCAGGGAGTCCCCATCGGCAGCTGCTGAGTACCCCCAACCCCTTCTTCCTTAGGCCAGCATTTTAGGTTTTAATATCGTCTTCGATATCTTAGGTGTTGGTTTGGGAAGAGTAAACCATGGCAGCCTTGCTGGAGTCAGGTAGGGGTATTCCCCAATTAATACTTTCCTATTGTTTCCTCAAGAACCTGTAGTCTCTCAGACAGTAACTGATCTTTGCCATTGTTTCAGTTCCTGTTTTCCCCTGACAGCTTCCTCTGATTTAACTCCTTATGGGCAGGCAGGTTATTATTAACCAGGCTACTGAATACACATTTATTTTTTTAAAAAAACACACCAGTTCCCTTGTTCTGCACAAGCATACTTCCAGCATAACACTAATTGGTAAAAATTTACTTTCATGTTTTTTGTTAATGAGATTGAGGCTTATTACTAGATTTAAAGATAGATAGTCCCTTGACAGGACACTGTGGCAGATGTATGTTAATGTAAAGTTATATTAAGCAAATGTTTAAAAGTTGTTAAACAAAAATGTCACATTACTGACTTTGCTGATCTATGGAAATTTACAGATATCAGTGTAGACACAGAGCCATACTTCAGCATGGATTGTATGATTATCTTAAAAATGGCACACAAGTCATTTAAAGATGACTGTCCTGCATTTACATTAGATTAAAAAATGCCAGTCTAAATTTTGATTTTGCTGTTTCTCTTCTATATAGTTTGACTCACTTGGAATAAGAAAACAGTACTGTTGAGTTACACTTTCTAGTTCATATTACCAGAAAATGTTTAAAATGAAAAGCAGTCTATATTTTGGGTCACAGAGGTTTGAGGCTGTGCAAAATCTCTTCTAGGCATTTTTTTAAATCGGAAAAATTAAATGCATGAAAACTTGTAGAACACTTTCAAATGTACATTACAGAACAATTAGATGAAATCTATATCCTCACTTCCATTCCCTAAGTAATAAAGTTCTGTTTGTTTTTCAAGTTTATTGCTACAGTGTCAGAAGGAGAAACCACTTAGATTTAATAATGGTTGATGGAAACAGCACTAACTTGCTGCGTATCTGTCATTACTCTGAACATACATAGAACAGCTGATTCACCTATAGTCAGTCCGGTCCATTTATTCTTGATTATTGTAACAGGATTATAAAATCATCATGTAGTATCTGTACACCACCTAGCACTATGGGGCCTGCATTCCTAATTGTGCCCTTTAGGTTTGACTGTAATATATACAACACTAAATGAATGATGCTAAGAATGATCGTTATTTTCATCCAACATATTCACCTTCAAATATTTCAGTACACACATTTGAACTTATTAAATATTGCTGAAAATTGAGAAATTTTCATTTTACATTGACACTTTATGCCAATATTTATCACTTTGAAAAATAAAGCTATGGCATCAGATCTCTTGCCTCTAGTCATCAGAGGCAATTTTAAACAATATTTCCATGTTAGTGAACTAATTTTTGTATGCTTTATCAGACATCAAGATTTAATTGCTAAGGCAAGTTATCAACTCTTCTGTAAATCAAGACAACCACCATCCACTAACGTATTTAATGTTCCAACCCAGCTAAGATTGTGAAGATCTACTAAGGAGGGATGGACAACAAACATTGTCCCTACATATTTCCCAAACTTTTATTTTTACAATAAAATTTATGTTTTTATGTCCAAGTTGTAAAATGACCAGAAGCATTTTCCTCCCCATTAATGAGGTTTTTGAACTATCACTTTAGTTTTCTGAGATATATAAACATTACCTTTTATTTGGACAGCAGTATTTTTCATCTTATCTCAACTACAGTTTCAAACAATCAGTATGAAAACAGAAAATTGGTAACCAAAACAGATGTTTATACAATGTGTTCTTCTCTCCCTACTGCTTGCCTAACCCATTACAGTCAGTGAGAATATAGAGCATTTAGTCACTTTGCTACATTGTTCGGTGAATAACATTTCAAAGTATATTGCAACACAAAACTATTTACAATCAAACATTAAAATGTTTATCCTATTATAACTTTTAAACTAAAATTAATCCTGGTAAAATTGATTAAAATTATCTATTTGGACATATGTGGTAAGTATTAATACTTTTAAAACAGCATACAATCAGAACTGATTTTCAAACAGAGGCATTGAACACGGCATCAGGAATTTCCCCACTCAAGAGCTTTCATAAACTCTTCTTCAGTGAAAGAGAGCATTTTAGCAGCTTCAATATGCATCTATAAAAGATTAACGTAATTTAGTTAACCAATAAGGGGTATAAGAGAAGATGATTTCACATTTCCTATATCATGTTATTTGTAGCCTAGACAGTTTAATGCAAATAGAAGTGGAATATGAAATAGGTTTTGTTTTATTTTAAGAAAAATTGTGATTTCTCTTTTTGTGTGTGTTGCACTATTGAAGGAAGCTTTGGCTTTTTCTGTCTTTCATTACAAATTAAGCACTGGTCCTTTCCTTATATGTACTTCTCTACACCTGACATGCTTTTACAAGAGAATCATTGTCTTTCCAAAAACATAACATTCAACTCTGCTCTATACTTCTAGGAACCTTTTAAATTCATGGTTAAGATGACAATGTTTCTTCTGAGCAGTCTAAAAATACTTACCAGTTAAGACTGCTACAGGAACTATTCAGAACAGAAGAATCTGCTGCTATTCTATCTGCATATCAGTTTTCTTTTTAAAAAAAGCAAGTTACTAAAGCAGACTGCCTTAGAGACAGTTGGAGCCCAATACTGGTTACTAAACAACGCCTTCATGACTTTTCAAACTATTGAAGAGGTTCTGTCTGTCTCTGCAGTTTCAGTACTACAATTAACTTAAGATACTGTACTAGACCCTAAGTATGGTATAATAAAGTACATTACATAAACTACCAAAATCTCAATAGTTTACAGAAATGCTGTCTTCTCATGACCAATAAGTATAGTGACTTAAACTCCTAGCAGTGTGGTTGAAAGGGGAAAATGGTGGTAAAAACATAAAAATAAGGACCTTGCTTTTTCACACTCCATATTAACACAACCTACCACTCAAAAGGGCAGCAGATTTTGAAGCCTGTAAAAGCCCCTTAAATGCGTATGATGAGAGCAAGTTTTAGATCATATTATAGAGGTTAATATTTTTATCATCCCCACATTTTAGACTTTTTTTAAAAAGGAGAAAATTACAATCTTAGAAAAAAAAATCTTTAATTTTTTAAAGTTGCAAAATCAATGTCCCATTGAAATCTTTTTTTCCTGCTGGCAGAAAAATTTTCTTCAGTATAACTGTGTTCTTAGGGAACTAGTCTGATGTGGTAAACATTAAGCACAAGAAGCAGCTGATGTCCAAAAGGGATCTGAATTTTTAATATATAAACATATCCATTCAAAACAAAAAAACAGTTATAACTCCTGTAATACACCAGACTCCAGCTCTGGAAAGCTGAAGAGATCGTCCACCCGTATCCCTTTTTATAAATAAGGCCTTTTCCAAAATGTTCTCCTCTGGGAGCTTGTCCTCTAAATCTAGCGAGATAACCAGATGTGGCCCTAAGGCAACCATTTTGAACACCAAGCAATCTGACTGCTGCAGATTGCAACTCCCTTCTTTCCAGATAGTATTTAGCTTCATTTATGTCTTCTCTCTCACTCCTAAGGTGGTCACACCTCCTGACCTGCACACTACTTCCTCCTATTGTACCCATCCAAATTTGGCATACAAATATTGTATGGATGACCCAAACTATCTTTCCCTGTGAGTGCAATACATCAAGTTTATTTTGCATAAACTTTTTGAAGTTCTTGTCATAGATTAGGAGGCTAAACATAACCAAAGTTATCTGCAGAAGACCACACAATTTCTGAAATAGCTCATGTAGGACAGAACATTGTTGCATTAAGGTAACATGTTATTACTGAAAGGCCATGGTGCTGACATGTCGAAGCTCTATTTTACATAATTCCCAATTTAAGAGGAATTCCCTGCATTGTCAGGACAGCATGAGGAAGCTGCTCCTATTTAAGCTGTATTCGCTCAGTGAATGAAGAGGCCATTGATCTCAGAACTGCCCAATACAGCTTTTAGCAGCACTAAACACATTCCAATTCAGGGACAAAAAGCCAAGACATTCAATTCAAGAAATGACCTGTCCAGTTTTCAGGATTTTTTGTTAAAGGAGAAAGCCAGCAGTGCTACTTGTACCCCCATGACAGCGGCAAGCTTAACCACCCAAATTGCCTAAACATACCACTTTTTGGAGACTGTGGGGATGCAGATCTGTTAGTTCATATGTTACTGCAGGAAAAATACTGATGGTAATCTTCACAATTAGCATTTGCAACCTGTAGTGTGCAACTCTATCAATATATAAAAGTGAATGTTGTTAAGCTTTTAGGTTAACAGACTCACCTTTTGTCTCTTCAGAATGTCAATTAACTTTAACTGTTTCTTGAAACCTGTCATTAGCTCTCCTTTTTGCTTCTCCAGTCTCTTGTTTGCTATTTTTAGTTCTTCCAGTTTTTTGTGCTCTTGGTTGGCTATGTCCTAGAGGAGGACAAAAACAACCTGTTATCTGTAGAATAGGCACAAAAGAAAACATACCAGCAATCTGCGATATTTCAGAAGGAGAAAAAGAGAGACATCAAAACTATTCTTTTACTAAAGCTTTTGACTTATACCCTTAAAAAAACAAAACCCCACACCTAGCTGATAACTGTCTTCTGTGCTACGAAGGCAGCAGAATTTATACTGGTACCACAATGTGCATTGCTTCTGTGTGTTTTAGGCATGCATGATCAGTTGTAATCCATACCTATGTCCACATATTTATCTCTTCTTTCAAGCTGTCAGAGATCTGTTTGGGTGCCCCCTTTCAGCCACCCAACAAACTACTGTGAGGGGAATTCAAGCCTCTGGGTCCCTGGATCTTTGATTTAAGCCTCCAATGCCTGAATGGAGTCTGGCCACTGCCCCAATCTTGGGATCTGTAGGCACACTTGGGGAGCAGAGTAGCTGGCACCCCCTTTTGAGAGAAGGAACCCACTGTACAGCTGCCAAGCGCATGGGTTCTCGGGTGACTCTTGACACTTGCTCATACCTAACAACACACCCTCTCCCAAAAATTCCACCTCCAAGGTGTGAAGCTTCTGGTTTATAATTCAACTCTTTCTCAAGGCTCATCATAATTGTGAAGCATATAAACACACACGATGCTTTGCACAAATCCAATGTATTATTGCTTTTTTACTTTATAAAGCACATAAATACAGTTCCTACAGAAAATAAACCCTACATGCATTTTTCTTCACTAAGTTACTCCTCCCTTAGGAGTTGGAGGTGGGGGGCACTTCTGTGTCCAGGAAGGCATGGTTTCCCCTGCCTCACGCTGGGTGACTTCTCACTCGTCATGGAATCTCACCTTCCCCAGCTTGAGTGACCTTTCTCTCACCTTCCCAGCACTTCCTCTTCCTGGTGTGACTCCCTATTTTATATGCCTCCTTCCAATACCGGCCTTCCTTTATTTTGTTTCTTGTAACCTTCCACTGCTCCAAAATAACCCTCCCTCAAGGATGCAGTTACTCTCTCATAATTTTTGTGTGGTCAAAGTACTGTCATTATCCTTAAGTACCTTTCCTCACTCTGGAGTGTGCCTGTCCTATCTGTAATGCTGGACAGACACAGAGGCATTCATGATACAGTTGTTTTTCATAGTAACATTTCATAATTCCATAAGATCAACCAGAATATGTGTTGTAGAGATGTTTCAGAGTAGCAGCCGTGTTAGTCTGTATTCACAAAAAGAAAAGGAGTACTTGTGGCACCTTAGAGACTAACCATAGTTAAACATGTCTTCCTACCACATGCCAATGTCTGGCAGTCCAGTGCAGTAGAGAGAGAGAGACACTCCCTAGCTTTGTTTTTTCTTGATATAAGACAACATAGCTATTCAAGAGAAATAAACTGCTTTGCAGTTACAGGGTCAAATTTTGTCAACATGAATTATTTAACCTATAAGTGAAATATAGTATTTATCCCCTTCCATCTCTAATCATGTACTGGACTCAAGCAGATGTTGTGGGGGAGAGGACAACACAAACTCCAGCACTACACTTTATATAACCAATATGACATTTTTCAACAAGGGTTGCAATATTCTCTATACAGCTAAAACGCTTGTCCAGATACTCAACTGATTTGTTACAGTATTCTAATTGCCTTTTTCCAGCTTTGGAATTGTCTATGAAAGACAAAACGCCCACAAAATTCTTATTGCCATCCATGATTTGAGGGTGCTCACTTATGACATGCTCAAGCCCTTTGGTGATTTTTAAAGCATTTTTCAACAGGGGGTTATACTTAAATCAGTTTATTTTTTTAAACCACTACTGTACCTTATTGCTTTGCTTCAATTTATTCAGCTCCATTTTATACCTTTCTGCTTCCTCAAGAGCCCTATTTAAGCGAACTTCTGTGGCACTCTGACTGGTAGAAGCCTGCTTTTGTATGCGCTTTAGATTCTCTAGTTCCTAAATAAATTAAAAAAAGTGTGTTGAATAATGGCAAATCAATTAATCCCCCTATAAGCAACACATTTAGAGCAAGGGACATGGCAGAAAGCCTGATCTTGTTTGGCCCTGCAGTAGAATCAGACTTCACATCTCCTACTTTTATAGTTCTAGAATAGTTCTGCCTCCTCCCTCGCTGTCTTCCCCCCGCCCCCGAAATTCTTCTATCTGAATACTAAGACAGGGATCAATGAGACCAGAGGATTGCACCATGGGCTAGTGACACTGAATCAATGTTGCAAAACTTAAATCCCCTTGAGACAACTTGGTGTGCTGTCTAGTCTGGAAGACAGATCTAGAAGTCTCTCCCTTCTGATGCTACTATTTGATAGTGCTGTGAGTGGGGAGAAGGTGAGGGGATGAGGAAAAGGTGGTGATATGTAGAGCAGAGTAAAAGATAGAGATCAAAGGATGAAACTAACAGACTAAGGTCTGGTCTACACCAGAGGGGCGGATCAATCTAAGTTACGCAACTTCAGCTACGTGAATAATGTAGCTGAAGTTGACGTACTTAGACCTACTCAAGCGGTGTCTTCACTGCGGTGAGTCGACTGCTGCCACTGCCCCGTCGACTCTGCCTGCACCTCTCACAGCAGTGGAGCACAGGAGTCGACGGGAGAGTGCTTGGGAGTCAATTTATCGCTTCTATACTAGGTGCGATAAATCAACCCCAGCCGGTCGATCGCTGCCCGCTGATCCAGCAGGTAGTATAGACAAACCCTAAAACAAAGCAGAAGGAGACAAGAACATATGGTATCTTAGCAGAAATGGCAATCTTGTTATTCACATGAAAGATGAGATGTCTCTACAAAAGAGGAGTCAGGTTTTGTAAAGTAATGAGTAGAGAAAGGCTAAATGATTTAGCCTAAAGATAACATTTAAGACATTACTCTCTTTTAAGTCTTCTCCCTGAATTTTTGTCTCCTTTTGGGACATTGCCCCACTTTTTCATACTTCTGATATCAATCCTGCTGAGGCCAAGAGATTGTGTTGTTTTTTTTTAAATATGTGCCATTTGTGTTAGAAAGCTATCCTTAATGAATCTCTACAGGATGAATGACTTGATTATGTAAATGTCTGAATGACGAATCTGTATAGAAAAGCATTGTGGCAAACTAACACTGGATCATATGGATAGTGGAAGGATCCTGGACTTCTCCAAGCTGGACCCAGAGAACAGGAAGATGTGAAATCTAGAAAAAAAATGTGTGTCTGACTAAACCACCTAGATTCTATTGCTGAATTTCCTTCCCCCAAGATTTTGGACAAATGGAGTGGCTCTGCTACGCTACATTGTGTCAGTGACCAGGTCATATACAAGACTGAGGTAGGATTCACTCTTTTTTATCTCTGGAACGTACACACATTTTCAGGTAAGATAGCTTGGAAACATATATTCAGGCAGTAAACAAACAATACAGTATGTTCCTCTTCATAGCATCACCATCTCTTCTCTTGTGTTAAGATGGCAGAGCTCTGAATAAGGTCAATTGCTTGTCTCAGTCTTCAGTGCCATATACTCCACATTACATTAAAGAGAAATTCTAACTTTTGGAATAGAGCATTTCAGAACCTGGCAGCATAAAAGGATACAGGCAGTCCTTGACTTTACGACGTTAGACTTATGACGAACGGCACTTATGATGTTTCTGAACTGACACCCTGATTCAACTTACGATGTTGGTTTCGACTTTATGACGCTCAGTCCTGCAATGGCGTGGATTACAGTTCCAAGTTACGACGTTTCAACTTCTTATGCAATTTTCAGAAACCAGTTCTGTCATAAGTCCGAGGACTGCCTGCATATCGCTTGCACAGCATGTAAGCTATCAGCTAACCTAATCATATAATAAAAGGATGGTTAAATGCTCTTTTAATGCTCTGTTTGACGTTGGCTCCAGAGAGTAATAGGATGCAGTGGGATTTTTGCAGATCTTTCAGTGGGGTTGTATTGTATTTTCATATCTTGTCAACTAATGCTACAAAAATAAATAGAACTTTATTTTCTAAGTAACCAGGATTTCTGCAAATCCTCCACAAACAATTTTTACTGAATTATGTTTCCCAATTAAGTATCTGGAGAAGGGGTGGAAATTACTGCATCAGGTCTTTTCAGATTTTTTTCTTAAATATTTTTGTTTAGAATAGCCTAATTTAGTTTAATTTCCAAAAATCATTGCTCTCCACTGCCCCTCTACAGTTACTTTAACAAAAGAGTTCAATTTCTCCATTTGCTCTTACAACTAAGGGTGGCCAAAAATAATGTTGAAAGACAATCAGCTAAGCATGCTCAAAAACCACTAAGGTAAAAAGCATAGGGGATACTTGCCAGATAATGGTTTTAAAACTACTCAGCAGCAGAGCAGTCTCAAAAGGGACAACGCAAAGGCCTTAGGTATCAATATTCAAAACAGCCAGAACAGAATTTTTTTGGGGGGGAAACCACAAAAACTTAGATCCAGGAATTTGTCTTATGAGGAGATAATAAAGTTATATTCTCTTCCTACATAACATACATCCCAGAGGTGTTTCTGGCGGAATAAACCTAATTTCTGTATGGCTTAAATGACATTACCAACCATTCAAAGGTTACCTGGATTTTAAAGTAGCTTTTAAAATTAATCTGGACAATCAATGTCAAGTGTCAGCCACTGTACACACATATGAATATGATAAGTTTGGGACACTGAAACAGAGACAAAAACAATAATATATACTTTTTTAGAAGTTAAGCTCTTCCCTTGCTAAGGGTGCAGAGAAGATTACAAATTAAAAGAAAAGTTTTACTTTAGAGAAATGAAGCCAAAAGCACAAAAATAAAACAGAGGTTAAAACTTATGCTATCCCAACCCACATATACAGACTCTCTAGACTCCAAAGATGTCAGTCTTCAATATCTGTGATCAACATATAGTGCAGACTCAGCTTATGATATTCAGCCAAATTTTCTGAAACATATCTACCGTTCATCTCTCTTTAATTAAATATTAATTAGTCTTGAATAATGTACTACAAACTTTGCCAAAGAACAAATAGCTTTCAAAACCAAAAGATCAAGTCAGAAAGAGATTTAACCATTTAAAAACAAGAATGATTTTTTAAATCATGTTTACTGGTAGTTAAAACTAAGTTTATGATTAAAAATATAAATGCTAATTGCCTAGGACAATCATACTTGTAAATTTAAGAGAACTATACTACTAACTAGATAGCTAGTTATACAGTACACACATTTTAGATATCTAAAATGTTCAGGCTTTTTTCTTCTCTGCCTCCTCAATCCTGTAGACAACTATTGCTATTACACATTACTATTTTCCTCCAAAAATGGAATATTCTCATTCGTGACAAAACCAATAGTCAGGATGACTGCACCCTTATTCAATTTACCTGCAAAGCCCATAACTGGTTTTGGTTTGGTTTGGTTTGAAGTACTTACACAAAACAGGTTTTTTTCAAATTCTTCACTTAGTAGTTTAAAAATGCCAATGCGACATCATTTTATTAAACATATAAAATAGAATGAAAGCATGTTTAATCATTGCTACAGTGTAGTTTGATATCAAGGACATGTGGTTTAGGCTCCAAGTTATGTGTTCAGTTTTCATTTAATCATTTTTAGATAATATTCTCTAGGTTGTTCAGATATGTTTGATTTTAATATCGACCTCTCCAGCTCTGAATAATTAAAGAAAAAAACACATGCTGCTCTTAGCTTAAGTTCCAAACAAACAAAGCTGTGTATGTGGGCCATCTGGTATAACCAGGCACTTCACAACTTTGCATATGTGGCTTGTACTTGGAGCCAGGTTGGTTTGGTTTTGATTCCTTAAAATCAGAGTGTGATTATTTTAAAGGGGCACAGTCAACTTACCAAAAAATAAAAACAAAGCAAACGCACACATACACACCCTCCACCCACCCACCAATAAAAAAACACCCCTATGTTGAATGGTGTTTTATTTTAAATCTACTATTGTTACAACAAGGTTGCTACAACTAAAATAATTAGAGAAATTAAATATTTCCCCTACTTTTCGTTTCCTCCTTTGTGAACTTGACTGCACTTTGTGTATGTATAGTCAGCGTCACCTGCCTCTAGCGATGTTCTACACAAGAATGAGGGGGGAAATTAAATATAGGAAAATGTGATTGCAAAACCTTAAAACTGTTGGGGGACCCTGGGACAAAATCTAAAACTATTCAATCTTTTTTAAAAAATGGGTTGACTGGACACTATCTTTAAATCAAAATGTACAGCATCAGTATAAGCAGAAGTCAGTATGTTAACTGCAGATTTGACTGTAAAGCAGGGCCGGCCTTACATAGGGGTGAACTGGGTGAAAGCCCAGAGTGCTGTTATAAATGGGGTGCCTCTGGAGCAGGGGTGCCTGTCCCCCTGCTGCTCTGCAGCCCTACCACTCAGCCCCCTGCCTTGGAGCTGCCCCTGGCCAACTGCTCCTGGGAGCTTCCCGTTTGCTGTACGGGAGGGAGGGAGGAAGCTGCTGATGTCAGAGTGTCCCCTGCCTCCCCCTGCCTATGTACTCCATCTCCACAGAGTGGGTGGGGTGTGTGTGTGTGAGAGAGGACAGGGCTCACCAAGAGAGGGAGGGAGCTGCTGGCAGCGGCTGCAGCTGTGTCTGAAAGAGCTTTCCTTCAGGCTGGTGAGTGCAGCTCTCTTAAAGGGGCAGCGCGCGGTCTCTCACACAGTCCCCCAGCTCACACACGCTGTCTCTTTCACACTCACCCCTCTCAACACATACTTATATTGTTGTTACTTGTTGGTAGTTCCTGCAATGCATGTATGTTCTCTGTAATTTTGTTCTTTCAAAGTGCTGTTATTTTAGTTTTTTGACTGGTCTGTGCATTTCATAATTTTATTTCTCTCTCATGCTTACATTTAATTCTTTGACTAATGAGTTCTAAAATGCCTAACCTATCCTGGCTGGAGTAATTATCATTACTACTTTTATCATCATATTGTGCTTGGTCATTCATTATTTAAAGTGGTACAATCAAATAATAGTATCCTTCTAGAATGTAACTTTAGTTTGTACTAGCCTTAGCGGTGCCAGTTCAAAAAACATTAGCTAAACACATAACTTTAGATACTGGGCAGATGAAGGTTGCTTATTTTCAAATTGTATTTTTAGTTATATCTGTAAAATAACTTAAAATTTGCATGAAAATAAAAGCAGTTCCAGTTATGATACCAATAGCAATGATGGAGTCAAATGTTAGTGAGTCATAGAATATCAGAGTTGGAAGGGACCTCAGGAGGTAACCTAGTCCAAACCCCTGCTCAAAGAAGGACCAATCCCCCATTTTTTGCCCCAGATCCCTAAATGGCCCCCTCAAGGACTGAACTCACAACCCTGGGTTTAGCAAGCCAATGCTCAAACCACAGAGCTATCCCTCCCCATCACATACATGATCGGTAAACATAAATGCCAAAATAATTAGAAAAATAAATTCCCTTTCTTAATAAAAGAGGAAAAAAACATAACATTTGTTAAAATTATGTTTTTAGTGAAAAACAATTGACTAAAATAGAGTAGATAATGGCAGTAACACAGATTTTAAGCAGATTTTATTTATTTTTATGTATCTCTAATAAAGATAGTGTACAAAGTATCAAATGTGTGTTTCTGATATCTGTGTTAAAGCTCTAGAACTGATACCTCAAGGCATGGGTTGGGAATATCTTGCTGTATTATCTCCTGATTGTTCTAAATTTACATATACGCTTTAAACGTGGCTTTAACTGGAGTTTGTATACATATATTTTTTCTTTATATAACAATTAGATACAATGCTCCTGTCAGCTAATTCCTAAGGTATCAGCTGCAAAAACCTTTTTTTTTAGTTTTTAGTTTTAGAGTTTTTAGGTGCCTAAGCAGTCCCTGGAATTATGGTTAAAGTTTCCTCCCTGCCAAATCTGAAATGGAGCCCTGGGTGAGCCAGGAGCGCCATGGGCTTTGGCAAGATGTAGTCCCCCATGTAGCGCGTAGCCTTGAGCCACATGTCAAGCATCAGGCACCACAAGCCACAGCAGCAGCACAGAAAGCAATACACCATATACCATGCCACCCTTACTTCTGCACTGCTGCTGTTGCCTTACCTGCCAGTATTAGGCTGCCCTGCCAGTGGTTAATTTGTGCCAGGGCTGAGCTCTAGCCTCTGGCATCTCTTTCAATACAAATTAAACACTGGGGAAGGGAGTGGGGCCCAGAGGTGATGGGGGTTGGGAAGCCCAGAGAGTCCGTGGGGGCCAGGAGTGATGGGGTGGGGGTGCCAAAATACAAGTTCGCCCAGGATGCCATTTTCCCAAAGGCTGGCCTTACTGTAAAGCAATCCAGGTAAAGGATGTACTTGTGGCAATTATATATTTTTTCCTTCAAGTAAGGCTAAGGAAATTAAATGAATGGCTGCATTACCTTTTCTACTGCAGTGAGCTGTTGATGTAATCCTTCATTTTTCCTGTTAGCTTCCTCTGACAGCATTTTGTACTTTTCAATTTGAAACTGTTGAGTACTGATTGTTCGCTGGAGTCTAGCACTTTCTTCCTCAGTTTCTTTAACACGAGAGTTTAAATTCCGATTCTCATCATCCTGTCAGTCAATAATTCGTAAATTTAGAAATCAATGAATGTTTTAAGAACGTGTTAGGATGAGAAAGCGTTTTTCTACAATTAATATGGAGTCATTAGTTCATGGTTTTTGCAGATATTGTTGTGATCACTGGTGTCTCTTAATTTTTAAAAAGTTTTTAAAACAACATTTCTCATAAGCAATACCTGATAACTCACAGTGCAGTTCACAATCCAGTTTGGTTACCAAAAAATAAAAATCTTAAATTTTGCTCTTAGTCAACACTTCAGTAAATGTTAATTTTCTACCAAATTTTTTCTAGTCTTATTTGAACAATATGCCAAATTAGATATATGCTTTAAATAAAACTTCAGTAATTTAAGGTTCAAGGCACGGAAGATCACAGCACATACTGTGATAGCCATCATTAGTTATAGAACAGAGGTGGGCAAACTACAGCCTGCCTGGCCCCTGAGCTCCTGGCTGGGGAGGCTAGCCCCCGGCCCCTCCCCTGCTGTCCCCCCTCCCCCACAGCCACACCACCACACGGCCAGCGCTCTGGGCAGCAGGGCTGTGCACTACTGCAGCACAGAGTGGCAGTGTGTCTAGCTCTGGCCAGGCAGCGCGGCTGCCAGACATGCTGCTCTGAGGAGCATGGTAAGGGGTTGGGGGGGTTGGGTAAGAGCCAGGGGGTCCCAGGGGGCAGTCAGGCTGTAGTTTGGTTGGATGTAGTTTGGTTGGGAGCAGGGGGTGGTAGGATGGGGCAGAGGTTCTGGGGGGGGGCAGGGGATGGGGAACGGGGGGAGGTTAGACTGGGGGGATCCTGGGGGGCAGTTATGGTGGGCGTCTCGGGAGGGGGCTGTCAGAGGACAAGGAGTGGGGGGGGGTTGGATGGGTGGGTAGTTCTGAGGGGGGCAGTCATGGGGTGGGAAGTGGGAGGAGGCGGGGGCCAGGCTGTTTGGGGAGGCACAGCCTTCCCTACCCGGCCCTCCATACACTTTTGCACCCCTATGTGGCCCTTGGGCCAAAAAGTTTGCCCACCCTGTTATAGAATAATGTATATAGTAAAGTCATGCAGATGTTCTACAATGTAAATTCAGAACAGTAACATACTTGTGAGAATGTATATAAATAAATGTTTAAAAAAAATCTCACTAAGGAGAAAGGGTGGATACTCTGAATTTTCATCACAATTACAATATTGTAATTACAGTAATTACAATACAATAAAGAATAATCAGTACCCAACTTTTAGTGAGATCACTGATTTTTGAGTTACATTCACAGCTCATATTCTTGGATACCTCAAGTACCCAAATTCATGTTTATTTTAAAATCAAGTGGTATACAGCAACAGCTGAATTTTCATGTCCTATTTACCAAATTACATCCCTATTTTAAAATAATTTTATGATTTAGAAATCATTTTTCCTTTTAGAGCATGAAATATCTTGAATATTGTCTTATAAATCAGTGTTAAGACAAGTCAAAAGACTTGGGGAAAAAAATCAAGCCACATCCAAAAGTTTTTGAGGAGAAAGTTTCTTCAACTTTTAAGAGAATAAAACTGCCCCACACCCCGAAAACAAAACAAAAACAAAAAAAACCCAGTAACATGAACCTCTTTGGGAGGAAATCGGCCTTTTGCTATATCCCAAAATTCAACAAACAGTAAAAATGATACATGTTAATGATATCCAGTATGCTACTTATACATAGGGTTGCCAGGCATCCAGTTTTCGAACAGAACGCCCGGTTGAAAAGGGACCCTGGCGGCTCCGGTCAGCACTGCTGACTGGGCCATTAAAAGTCTGGTTGGCAGCGCAGTGGCACTAAGGCAGGCTTCCTGCCTGCCTTAGCTCCGCGCAGCTCATGGAAGTGGCCAGCATGTCCCTGCGGACCCTAGGCACAGGGGTGGCCAGGGAAGCTCTTCATGCTGCCCCCACCTGAAGCGCCAGATCCGCAGCTCCCATTGGCTGGGAACGATGGCCAGTGGAAGCTGCAGGGATGGCGCCTGTGGGCACGGGCAGCATGCACCATTCAGAACTGCCTGGCCACACCTCCACATAGGGGCTGGACATGCCAGCTACTTCCGGGAGCAGCGCAGAGCCAGGGCAGGCAGGGAGTCTGCCTTAACCCTGCTGCACTGCCTACCAGGACCCGCCTGAGGTAAATGCCGCCTGGCCAGAGTCCACACCCTGAACTCTCTGCCCCAGATTGGAACCTTCTCCTGCACGCTAACTCTCTCCCAGACCCTGCACCCCCACCCACATCTTGAAGAACAGTAACAGTATTTTTTTCTTTTCGTGGTTGCAGACATGTATTTCACTTGTCTAGTAGGAAGTGGGGCTCTGAGTCTACTGAAATAGTGACTGCAGAACTGCCTTCCCAAAGTTTGTATCTGACTTGATGCCATAGTAATCGCATAATGTTTCTCAAAAGTATGTACAGAAGACCATGTTGCAGCCCTAGAAATATCCAATATTGAAACATTGCTGACAAATGCAATCGATGTAGCCTGAGGCCTTGTCGAATGACCCGATAACATCTGTGGGGGCATGGTCTGAGCTACTTCATAAGCTGTAGTAATGCAGGAAGTTATCCACCTGGCAACTGTCTGCACAGAGACCACCTGTCCTTCCATCCCATCCACATAAGAGACAAAAAGCCAATTCGATGAATAAATGATTTGGTCTTTTCCTGAAAGAACACCAGGCACCACCTCAGATCTAACATATGAAGCCGCTGTTCATCTGCATTTGAGTGCGGCTTAGGAAAATACAGGTAAATAAATAACCTGGTTAAGGTGAAACTACTCTGGACAAAAACTTTGGATGTAGCTCAAGAAAACTTTGTCTTAGAAGAACTGTCTATGGGAGGCTTTGCCATAAGGGCCTGCATTTCACTGACTCTTCTTTTCGAAGTTATAGCAACAAGAACGACTGTCTTTTAGGAAAGGAGAGACAATGGATCATGTTGCTAATGGCTCAAACAGAGGACCAATGAGCATGGCCAGAATAGCACTCCTCCAAGAAGAGGAGAAAGAATCTCTCTGAGCATTGGAATGACTCTGATTAGTTTTAATGGAGTTCTTCTCCTCAGGGCACCAGGGGAAGGGGACCGGAGTCGTCTTCTCCAAGGAGAAGAATCTGGATCTGGCAGCCTATCAAGGGTCCACACCAGCTCAGAAGACTGACAGGCCTGGTGATCTGCAAAGGGCCCCAGGGCCAAAACTAGCTTCATGGCATGTTCCATGTGGTGCTATTTTAAACATAAGTTCTGAGCAACCTGAAACCTTTCCTTAAAGAAGCGACAAATGGAGAACTTTTCCTTTACATGCCCCTCTCCTAGACACAGCAAACATTACATGTGGAGGATCACTTTGGGGGATAGCCACCACAAACAAAGGACAGTCCTTAAATCCTGGTGAGGGCACAGTATCGTGTAACATTATAAATGGAAGTAACTCCTACACTAACTACAAGGATACTACTAATTAACTATTCACAGATAATCTCACTGTTGTCATGTAAAATCTGCATGGGAAGCTCCAACACAAGCTGTGGGCAGTGAGAAGGAACCGAGGGGGGTCCAAGTGCCACCGACCTTATATAGACATAGGAGGGGCTGCTACAAGAGCCAAATAATGTAACCACCACCCTGACAGGTACTGCTAAGCAAAGTTATCCAGCTTCAGTACACTGGGCATGCATGCATCTGAGTGGAATATTTGTCTACAACCAGTTGAAGAAGAACCTCAGTTATCACAGCTATCACAGAATTGCACTGGAAGAGAGGAGGTCTCTAAGGTAAACTAGCCCCAAAACCATTTAGGGTTTTGCAACTGCCAACACCTTAAATAGCACCAGAAATAGGCAGTCAGTCAGTATATATCACGCAGTACAAGTGTAATATATTCTCTGTGTTAAAACATTTTATAAGTGGGAAGCTGCATTAACTTTACATTCTTAATTGCCTTAAGGACCAGCTCAAAGTACAAAGTAGTGCAGTAAGTCTAATCTTGAAAGGAAGACAGGACAGTGTTCAGGTTCAGATTTTTGTTTTGTTTTCAGAACAGCCACATTCTGTTTTGAAAACTGCTCCTCGCCTATAAATTGGATCACACAGAATATGATGGTTTAAAACATCATATGCATTTTTTTAAATTATACTTTTAAATCTTTAGACTAAAGATTAAATATGTATAAAACACAGAAAAAAATATTGTAAGCTCTGGGTTCATAAAGAGAAAAAAATAGTTGTGTAGAACCCTCACCCTCTAATAACTGAAGCTATAGCATCCCACTAAGTATCCTAATATAGCCTAATTAAGGACAGGGTTAAATGGAAGGGGAACATACTCAGTCTTTACTGAATAAGAACACTCATTTCTTACCTTTTTACTACATTCACGTACTATAGTATCCAGCTCCTCCTGCATAACACGCAGCTTTGCCTTAAGAAATCTGATCTGGGCTTCTGTGAATTTAAATAGTCACATTTAATACCCTTAACTTATAAATACTTCTATGAAATATGACTGATTTTTATTTGCTTTGATTCAAACTGGATCACGTTAGGAACAAATTGTTGTTAACTGTAGACTTGTTTACAAAATACACCATACATACTGTTTAACACAATTATGCAAAAAACTAATTTCCAAATAAAATTTTCATGTAAGTTGCTTGTTCTTAGACCAAGTTGTGGATAGCTCTTTTTTTTTTTTAAAGACTTACTAAATTCTGCACTCTTAAAACGTAAAAAACCGATAACTGTGGAAATGGCATCTCTATGCTGATCCACAGCACAGGTAGAGAGATTGGATAGGAAGTGCAAGCTTCCCCAAAACTGTCGTGACAATGTGCCTTAAGGAACCACAACTGAAAGTGAAAAGGTAGTGCGGTCTTCATGCAGATTCAGCCCAAAGCCCCTCTACTGTAACTGACTGCCATTAAGGATGTCTACTCTGAGGATGGTATCTGTGATAGGGAACTGAACTGGGATCCCAAATCATTTCACATAGGCCAGTGCAATGGTTGTTGGATAGTTACTACTATCAATTTTGGCTGGATTTTAAATAGGCAAATGGCTCTATGTTCCATTACTCTTGAGCCATCTAGCTTTCAAGCAGTAAGTGCTGAGGGTTTTTTGTTCAGTTACAGTGAAATTCACCCATCCCTGCTTAAAGCTTGAGTAACTGGCTTTTGTGGAGGTAATTTTGTGGGGGCTGGGTGGATAAAACCACCTCAAACCACAGACAAGCCACTATTCTAGCAGAATGGAACAGACCACTACCTCACTATGTTATTTACATGAGATTTTTGGGCCATTGATAATCCATTTATTGTGAACCCAGTAACCTCTCTCTTGTCTGTCACCAATGATTCCATCTGTACTGGCCTATTTAGAACATTAACTGCTAAATTCTGGTGTCTAGGAGACATTCAGGCATGTATTCCAACTGTATGTGGATGATCTTAGAAGCAGAAATCAGTCCAAGGTCTTTTTCAGCCTCCAGATCTGGTTATAGGAAACAGTCTCCAATGCTCAAACACAGAGTTCAATCAATAACTCTCTCAGGCTATATAACCATGTGGTGTTAGTTCAAGATGTCTTGTTTCCATTGCCAGACACTAAATTAATCCCTTTCTCCATCCTGAATTTATCTAGCAGATGGTTCTAATATTCTCCACAGCGCACTTGTACTTTAGCTGAGAACTCAGAGTCACAAAACAAATAATCTGAGAGTTTCACATAGATTCTCCTTGATAGGTATTCCCAAAATGTCTCATACAAATCACAGAAGGCTGAAGATCAAGCAACTCCTACCTTCAATCCTGTGTCAAGTACTGATTGTTATCACCATGCAGTTAGACTCCAACACCATAGCATTTTGACAATGTAATAAGCCTCTAACTTCACGCTTCCTTTCACACTATGGGACTATGTGACGGGGTGCATCAGGCCCTTTGAGGCCCCCTGTTGGAGGCCTCGTGATTCTACCACACCCCACCCCAGGAAAGGAGCAGCAAAGATGGAGCCTTTAGGCCTGCCCAGAAAAACTGCAGAGAAGTAGCCAATCAGAGCGCAGCAGGCTCAGTTAAAAGTAGCTGTAGGACCTAAGCACGTCAGTGCCTGGCTGGGACCAGAGGAGCAAGGAAGGGGGCTCTTTTCTGGAGCTCAAGGGAGAACCAGAAAATGGGTTCTGGTGGCACTGGTATTTAATGAGAAAGAAGAGGAGTTGAGAACTTCAGCCCCAAGGTAAGGGTGAAGAGAAAGGGGCTATGTGGGAAGAGGCTCAGAGAATAGCAGCAGTGAAGAAGAGGTAGTGGTATGTGGCTACTGTTTATAGGCCCCTGGATTGGGACCCAGAGTAGTAAACAAGCCCGGGTTCCCCCACCGGCCACTAGTGAAGTGGCCAAATCCTCAAGAAGGGCACAAATTTCATTTACAGGCCCAAGCAAAGGGCTGGAATTTAAAGGGCTCAGGGACAGGGCTGAAGACCTTGATAAGGCCAGACAGACTGTCTGGTAAACTCTTGGTTACCACCCACCCCCAAAAGGGGACTGAAATTAAGGAGTGACCTGGCTGGAGAGCTGGAACACCAGACAACTGTTGAGGACACAGAGTCTCCAGGGAGAAAGAACTGGGGGTAGTGCTCCATAACAGGGCAGGGATAGGCTTCAAGCAACCCCAGAAGGGGCTTAGAACTGCTCAGAGACAGGAGTTCAGACACCAAAAAGGGCACAGTGATAGTCCTTGTTGGACTTTTGTCACCCCGGAAGGGATTAGTCCATTTCAGACTGTGTGTGACTTAGCTAGTGGGTCAGCCCTCCAAAGACATGCCTGCAAAGGTCAACAACTTGCAGGCAGCACCAGGAAAAAGTGCAGGATCACACACAGCTGACAGGAGGTGCCCATGAGAGGTGAGTGCACCCTGTCACAGACTCCACATAAACCATTTCATAACTCTACCAGCTTGTCATACCACAGCCAAAAAGGCAGGTGTGCATCATGCCTTTAGCTTCACTGACAAAATCCCTTCTCATATTCTTGTTATTTCTAGTCTAGTGTAAAAACACCATTTGGAGTGAGAAAGGATCCAAAGGTTCCTCATTTAAGCATTGTAGCTAAAACATTACTTCATAAGCTACTTACCCAAGATCCACAGCATGGATCTGATGAAAGGATTTAGCCCTAAAGACAAAGGCTGTGAAAGGATTTTTATCTTATGGAAATACAGCCTTAAAACCAAATCCTGCCCTTGGGTACATATTTGCAACTCCGAATAAAGTTAAAAAAAGTTATGCACTGATCTAAAGTCACAATGTTGTCCCAAATAACTCGTATGACCTCCTTCCAGAAGGGGCTGATGCACTGCTAAAGAACAAAGGTAAGCTAGGTTTCCAGTGGAGTGGGGACACCAACCCATTCTATCCATGTTTATTTGTATGTGACCTAGGAATACACAAAGAAAAAAGTTCCATCTTGTTCCCCTCACCCACTCTCCAGAGCAGAAATTTGAACATAATTTAAGAGTTATAAAACTTTCTCCGGTTTCAAAGTAACAGCCGTGTTAGTCTGTATTCGCAAAAAGAAAAGGAGTACTTGTGGCACCTTAGAGACTAACCAATTTATTTGAGCATAAGCTTTCGTGAGCTACAGCAAGTGAGCTGTAGCTCACGAAAGCTTATGCTCAAATAAATTGATTAGTCTCTAAGGTGCCACAAGTACTCCTTTTCTTTTTGTGAAAACTTTCTCCTATAATCTATACAGAAATGATAAAATATAGTTTTTCAGAAGATCCTAACAGTAAGGAACCAAGGATAAGAAAATGCATAGCTACAGGAACCTACCTGTTCCAATTTCATTTCCTACACTTGGAATAATATCATCATTTAGACTTTCAAGCAAGTCTCCTTCCTCCAGTTTTCCTTCAATTTTGGTAATTGCCTTTGCAAGAGAAAAATCTGTGAAGTCCTCCAGGACGGCAACATCATCAGCAGCTTGTATATCAATGCTTCTTAGTTTTGCACTAAAATTACAAAATAAGAGATTTCTAGACTGAAGTTATGATATTCCAAATAAGCTACAAAAACAGTTAAATGGCAGTCATTTATAATTGTACAAAACCATTTAGCTATCTGCAGTCTGCTATTACCTTCATCTTTTACATTAGTAAAAAAGATACAAATGCCAAATTTGTTCTGTTTACCAAAATATATTTCCTACATTCATATTAGGTTCAAACTGGTAGCAACAAGTATCACCTATTGGCCTTCACGTCCAAGTCCCCGTAGAACAGGGATGGGCAAACCTTTTGACCCGAGGGCCACATCTGGGTAGAAATTGTATGTCGGACCAAGAATGCTCACAAAATTGGTGTTGAGGTGAGGGCTCCAGCTGGGAGTGCAGGCTCTGGGGTGGGGCCAGATATGAGGAGTTCAGGGTGCGGGAGGGTGCTCCTGGTTGGGGCAGGGTGTTGGGGTGCAGGGGTGGGGGTCAGGGCTCCGGCTGGAGGTGCAGGCTCTGGGTGGGGCTGGGGATGAGGGGTTGGGAGCGCAGGAGGGTGCTCCTGGCTGGGAGCGAGGGGGATAAGGGCTGGGGCAAGGGTGCAGGCTCTGGGCGGCACTTAACTCAAGCAGCTCCCAGAAGCAGCGGCATGACCCCCCTCTGGCTCTTACGTGAAGGCGCGGCCAAACAGCTCTGTGCACTGCCTTGTCTGCAGGCACCACCCCTGCAGCTCTCATTGGCCATGGATCCCTGCCAATGGGAGCTGCGGGGGCGGGTGCAGCATGCAGAATCCCTTGGCTGCTCCTATGTGTAGGAGCCGGAGGTGGGGACATGCCACTGCTTCTGGGAGCCATGAAGAGCGGGGCAAGCCCCTGACCCTGATCCCTGGCTGGAGTGCCGGAGTGGGGCAAGCCCCAGACCCTGCTCTCCAATGAGATCTCAAGGGTCAGATTAAAACATCTGGAGGGCCAGATGCAGCCCCTGGGCCATAGTTTGCACCCCCTGCTGTAGAAGAAGTAAAACCCTTTGATTCAAATTCTCTTTGACAGCCATATTGTGTGCAGAGAAACTCTCATCTTCTTAGTGACAGGAGGCTGCAATAGCGGCGATTATTTAGCCTGGAAAGGGAAGGCTTTATTAAGATATTTAAAATTACAACATAAGTGTTCCTTTTGATAAGGATAATTATCTACATTGGTCTTCTGCCTTAGAGACTGTTGATCATGCTCCCCTCTCTTGGCTTCTGTAACTCTGTCCTCTCCTGCTTCCCCTCCGACCTCTTCTCTGGTATCTCCTATGGCCACTGCATGTACTCCCCTCTCACAATCAGTTGGCAATGGCATCCTTCAGAATTCTGTCATACTTATTCACTATTTCTTCTTTGGTGACCTTCATCTGTTCTAAATTCAGATTTCCAAATCCATTTTGCTTGTCCTGATTGCAGCTTCCTGTCCTATTTCACATCTACTATATCAAATTCACTCACCCCCAAGATTGAGCTGCTAATCTTTTTATTAATCCCTCTCTGCTCTCCTATTCCTGACAACTCTGCTGTCCTCCATCTCAAGTGCACAACCTTGGTGTCATCTTTGACTTCTCACTCTTTCCCCCTCACAGCCAGTGACTCTTGCTGTTTCATCTAATTCCACTGAAGTCCATCCCTCCCTCTGTTATACATATGCTAAAATTTACCATCTCATCCCTTGATTACTGAGATATCCTTCTTACTCTGCTCCTACCTGCATTGTATCAAAAAAGCTATTTGGCCCTCTCCTTCAACTTGAAATGTCACCTGTCTCCCTCTGATGGGGTTTACAGAGCCTTCACTAAGACTAAAGGAGCAGTACTGGGGTAAGAAGGCCCCGCCCTTCAGCAGCTGCAGAGCATGCTCCAAATGGATGGCCTGCTTAAAAGGAAACTGATAGGCAAGAAGGGGAAAAGTGAAGGAGAGACTGGCTGCAGGCAAGTAGCCAGGCTGTAGCTTCTGGGACGGAGAGATCTATTTACTCTGGGTAAGACACAACTGGGCAGCGAAGGGCCTGACCCCCTTTTTCTTGCCCCTTCTCCCTGACAAGGAGGAGCAAGTGGACATTAGAACAGGGGTGGGCAAACTTTTTGGCCCAAGGGCCACACTGGTGTTGTGAAACTCTATGGAGGGCCGGGTAGGGAAGGCTGAGCCCCCCCGAAATGGCCTGGCCCCAGCCCCTGCCCCCTATCTGCACTTCCTGCCCCCTCAGAACTCCTGACCCTTCCAACCCCCTCACCCTAACTGCCCCTCCTGGGACCCCACCCCCTATCGCCTGTCCCTTGACTGCCCTGACCCCATCCACACCCCTGACCGGCACCCTGGGCTCCCACGTCTATCTAACCGGCCCTGTTCCCTGACCACCCCCTGGAACCACCTGCCCCCTATCCAACCCCCCTCCCTACTCCCTTACCATGCCACTCAGAGCGGCAGGAGCTCGCAGCCCCACCGCCTGGCCGGAGCCAGTCACGCCGCCTGTGCTGTCTGGCAGGAGCAACGGGCCAGAGCACTGGCAGCGCGCTGAGGCTGTGGGGGAGATGGAACAGTAGGGGAGGGGCCGGGGCTAGCCTCCCCAGCCGAGAACTCAGGGGCCAGGCAGGACGGGCCAGATGTGGCCCGCAGGCTGTAGTTTGCCCACCTCTGCACTAGAAAATGAGCTGGGAACACCCAACAGACAATTTGAACTATTGAGACTGTGAGAGCAATCCGCTGCTGAGAGGGAAGCAAAGCGCCATGACCATTCTACAAACTGAAGCAAGAACAGGAGGAAAAAGGAGGTGGGCCAGAGGTGATTAGTTTTTTGTACCAGCCAGAGGGAACTGAGACTCTCCTCACTCCTTTGGGCTGGAATCTGGTGGAGAGGCAGGGCCTGGTGTCCCCAACCCTTCCCCCTCCACCTGACCAGGGCAATCCAGGGAGCACCAGGGGATGGGAGAACTGTAACTTTACCACTAGGTCTTCGTATTTCTTGGCAAGACCATCCCAAGACTCAGACTGTTGAGCCATGGGCCTGCCCCCTAGGCCTGCTAGCCCCTAGTGAACCCTACCACACTCCCTTTCTAAGTTTTATACCATATCATCAGCACTTTATAAAGAGATTAGGGCTAGTAGATTAATTTTCTCCCTACCTCCATCAATCAAAACTTCTCACAGTATTAAAGTACCCTACAAATTTTGCCCCTCCCTTTGCCTCTTGTCTGTCATCTTGGTGAATCTTGAGCTCAGATACCACTGTAATGAGCACACTAAAATATGTGGATAGATGCCTTCGGGACCTATGGGCCTTACTCTTCCCCTTTTTCAGCTTCAGTGACTCTGAACTGCAGTGCTCCAGCGCATTCATTCCAGGTGCCTCTAGTAGAATGCTTTCCAAACCACAACCAATAGGTAGAGATCTGCTTATTCCTCATTCATTGAGGCAAAGTTTAAATCACAGCCTTGACAAGTTCTTTGTTTTAAATTTTTGATAAGCCACAGTTTCATTGCTGTGGTGTTAACCAAGGCTGCTCATTAAAGATTTCCAGCTGCTTTATGTAGGCGAGCATAGAGCAGATATAGAAATAAGTAAACTGTAAGACATTTCCAACACAAAGTATATTTGTATAGATGTGTATCAAGATAAAAACAATCAACTAAAACTATTCTCATTTCATTACCAGAGTACAGATTTTAAATAAATACAAATACAGTGTACAATTAATGTACCTTGAAGTTGTTCTCTTTCCCTTACTGCCAGAGTGTGGTCTGTTCTGAGCTGTAGACATGGAACCAGATTTCTTATTTGGTTGCTAGGAAAAAAGTTTCAGTAGTCAGGATCATATTTATGATAATAGCCTATGACACTTTTTCTAGCACAACTATTTTTCCATTTTCCTGAGGTCAAACTATGACAGTCAAAAGGAATATTTTAAACAGTCTGATTTTCAGAGCCTGAGATATCCAAGAAACTAATACTTTTTTTGTCTAATTTGCAAATGTTTTTACTGCTACTGCATGTGCAGACTTGTATTTGCATGTACAAGTGACTAGACACCTATTTATTTGCACACTCAAAACTGACTTGCATGTGCAGTCATGAGTATGTACAAATAATGTACACAACTGTTACTGAGCCATTAATATCCAGACACTTCTAATGTACTACAACTAAATAAGCAAGACTGTTCAACCTAGAAACCAAGTTGAATCCATCATATGCTTGGATCATGAGTACAATCTCAAGTTAACACATTGCTGTTGAAAGCGTTTATCACCCCTTCTAAGTCACCAATGGAATTAGCATATTTTTAGTCTTGCTATATCTTCCTTCTGCAGTGAAGTTATTAAGTAACTTTCAGAGCTTACTCCCAAATTAAGATTATCCAAGAATCAGCTTTCTTGGCTACAGTCTTTCTCAAAGGAAACACTCTGGAAACTTTAGCTGAATCCCTAAAGAATGCAATGTAGCTGAAGTTTAAGAGGCTAGTGAGTCTTTGCATTTGTTCCTGGCCTCATTTATCCATTATTTTCTTCTCATAATATAAAGTTATTTTGCATGTTAACTTCTTTAAGAGGACTTTAACATTACACAGACAAGAGAAGAAATACACAGAAATTTTGTCTAAGAAAAAAAAGCAGCATTATAAAATTTTACGTCACCTTTAATCTAAAGATTTCAAAATGCTATACATACTGAAATAGCAACTCCATTTTACATAGGTGTAAAATATGGCCCAGAAACTAAGCTTGTCTACACATGAAATGCTACAGCAGCACAGTTGCATCGCTACAGCACTTCAGTGTAGACACTAACTATGCTGACAGGAGGGGTTCTCCTGTCAACATAGGTAATCCCCTGCCCCGAGAGGCAGTAACTATGTTGAGCGAGCACTGTTTGCACTGGAGGTTAGGTCAGTTGAACTATGCTGCTCTGGGGCTGTGGATTTTTCACATCCGAATGGCATAGGTAAGCTGACAATGTTCTAGTGCAGACCAGGCCTAAGTGACTAGTGTAAGGTCACCTAGCAAGTCAGTAGCACAGCAATTTACAAAAATAGAACCCAGGAGTCTTATCTCCCAGATTTCTGCTTTAAACACCCCATAGATTTTCGCCACTCAGTACAGTTTCTAGAATGGTAGACATATCTATCTGGTAATTCCATTAACGAGCAAAATTTGCAGATTTCAGTACCTTAATATGCGAAAGTGTAAGGATTGGCAGTTCAGGAGAAAGCCCATCTCTGAAAAAAATAAAACTGAAGTAAATTGTCTTGTAAACTCACAATAAAACAAATACTTAAAGAAAATACATTCTGAAATTAATTGTGCTTTTTATTCTGCTGGTTCTGACATTTTACATACCTCAGACCAAAACAGTAAAAGTGAAGGTAAGATTGGAGAATGTACCAATCACTTTTTTTTACTAAAATTATTTTTCTTTTAATCCAATAAGTACACTTGGTTTGGGAAGTCAGTGTCTTCAATGATAAAGAATAAAAGAAGTTCAAGACTAAGGGCTGATCCATGAAAGAAAGTTTAAATCCTTTACCATGTGGTAGGTTGAGATGAGTTAAGTTCCCAATGCATCTCTGTGGAAGCAAATTAAAAAAAAACCCTGCAAATAACTTATTTATGTGATTTCTTACCCATTTCTTAAGCCTCCTTCACTGCTGATCATAAAGGGATAGAATTGTAGTTCTGACTGAGCCCACACACAGGGACATATATGGGGAAATAAAACCTATCTCACATACACAGGATGCTCCTGATATGGTACATCTATTTAATGGTAATTGTTTGCACAAACAACAAAAAAATATGGTTTCAGAGTAGCAGCCGTATTAGTCTGTATCTGCAAAAAGAAAAGGAGGACTTGTGGCACCTTAGAGACTAACCAATTTATGTGAGCATGAGCTACAGCTCACTTATGCTATTCTCAGCCCCTACTCAAGTGGTCTGTTAGTAAACAACACTACTAACTAAACAGGGCAGGAGGGTGTGCCATGTGGGGATTGGTGATGGTCATGTGACTTTCCAAGACCATATTTTAAAAGTCTGTGACTCAGTGGGCCAGGTAGGGAGTAGAGGTATCACCTACAGTTGGCCTTTCTATGGTAATAAGCTTGATAAGACAATCCAGGAAAGCTGGTTGAACAGAACTGTGAAAAAGCCTAGGAGGCGCCTAGGGCCAGGACAGCAAAAGACCCTGAGGATGGTACACTCAGAAGAAAATAACCTGGACAAAACAGCATGGAGGGAAGTTGACCCTTTCACTTGGCAAACTGGGATTTCGGCAAAGATGGGTAAACGTCCCCATCTCCTTCTACAACCCTTTACCAACAGGGCAAAAGGACTGCTGATCGTAGTAGGGGTGTAGAAAAGGAAGTGCAATCCAGCTTGAGTGAAGACATTGTGTGGCCCTGTGAAGGTGGACCCTGAGCAACCATGGGAAGAACTATCTGTTCTGAGGAACGCCAGAAGATGGTTTTATGTCCGTTAGACTTGTTTTGGCCCCTCCAGAAGTGGTGGAGGACTTGCATGACTTAGCCAAAGGGCTAAATCATATCAGGGATCCAACACTGCTGAGAATCAGAGGACCACCAAAGGAAGAAAGTGGATGAACCAGAGTAGGGACACTGACGCAGATATCCCCCTTTGCTTCCAACTGGGTAAAATGATCAGATATGAATGGCCATCCACACTGTTTTGCCCTTGCTTCTTCCTTCTGATAATACCCCTTCCTGGACTCCTCCTCTATTCCACCAGCCTTTGACTGTTTTCCCAGCTCTCTTGCCTTCTGCTGTGAGAAGTCCAACCCTACGCCATTCTTCCATTCCCCATCCTTCCACCGAACCACAGGCTTTTTGTTGTATAGTCTTGGCTGGTTGCCTGACTCCCTCAGTCAGACAGCTCCAAACAATCCCTCCTGCAGACATTTCCAGTGTTCCTGGTCTTAAATGGACGAACCCTAAATTATGCTTGGAGACATAGCACCTGCTCTTAAAGATGCTCCGTGACTGTTACAGGCAGAAACAGAGAACCCTGAACTATTTGACCAGATATTGAGAGCTGAAAATTAGGTTACAAATTAAATAGGTTAAAAAGAAGGAGAGTGTGCTGGCCGTAAAATACTTCTTTAAAAATTATTTTCAGACACAACATCTGCCACCTGTTACTTGGTGTTAAAAACTAGATAAATGTTCTTCCCTCTGCATCTTTTTGCTCCTTTCATTCCACTCTAAACCAGCTGTAACACCTGTACCTGTTAGGGCTGTCAGAGGTGTGCTACCAAACACCACTTTAGACTTAAGCATGTACCAGATTTCTCTCCTGTGACTGACTAAGGTTGCTTGCCTTTTATACTCTCTCCTGAAATTTCTACATACATGTGCCACTGACTCCAGATGGCTTCTCCTAAACCAAACTTTCCTAACAGTACATACTCTGTTTAAGAGCACCAAGCTGTGGCTGATCAAGGACACTTGTCATGCTCAAAGACCACCCATAGATGTTCAAGAAAAAGGCAATATCCTGTAGGTTACTGCTGAGAATAACAAAAAAAACCCTTGTAAGTTTGGGGCTGCGGGTTGTTTGGTGTGTTGTTTTTTGCTTTAAATAGATGACTGTTGTGGCAGATAAATGGTCCATGTTGAGATGCATCTATTCTCTTCACAAAAACCATTTATCTTCTACCTGAAGCAATATCAAAACAGAGGAGGGTCATGTCTCATGCTGTACTACTTATCAGTAAAAACATAGTGCAATTGAACACATAGTAATCAGAGCTGTAGGAACACAGCAGGATTCTGTAAGCAAAAAATTGGTGTCTAATTTACACATTTTAGAAGGAAATAAGAACTTTATTCCCCCCAAGAAAAGAGAACTTTTCTTATATACAATCTGTTTGCTGTTTAGGAAACCCTCTGTTATACTCAGTTTACTTGACATGATTTGGTATGCCAGCAAGATCAATGTCAACTACAGTAAACCACAATTTTTAGCGGGATCCTAAACTTTGAGCGCTCTCTCAGAGTCCAGTACTTTTATTCTTGTGGCACAGGAATATGTCTGAGAGGAAAGTGTATGAGAGGAAAGTGATCAGGAACAGCCAGCATGGATTCACCAAGGGAAAGTCATGCCTGACTAATCTAATCGCCTTTTATGATGAGATTACTGGTTCTGTGGATGAAGGGAAAGCAGTGGATGTATTGTTTCTTGACTTTAGCAAAGCTCTTGACACGGTCTCCCACAGTATTCTTGTCAGCAAGTTAAGGAAGTATGGGCTGGAAGAATGCACTATAAGGTGGGTAGAAAGCTGGCTAGATTGTCGGGCTCAACGGGTAGTTATCAATGGCTCCATGTCTAGTTGGCAGCTGGTATCAAGTGGAGTGCCCCAAGGGTCGGTCCTGGGGCCGGTTTTGTTCAATATCTTCATAAATGATCTGGAGGATGGCGTGGATTGCACTCTCAGCAAATTTGCGGATGATACTAAACTGGGAGGAGTGGTAGATACGCTGGAGGGGAGGGATAGGATACAGAAGGACCGAGACAAATTGGAGGATTGGGCCAAAAGAAATCTGATGAGGTTCAATAAGGATAAGTGCAGGGTCCTGCACTTAGGACGGAAGAACCCAATGCACAGCTACAGACTAGGGACCGAATGGCTAGGCAGCAGTTCTGCGGAAAAGGACCTAGGGGTGACAGTGGACGAGAAGCTGGATATGAGTCAGCAGTGTGCCCTTGTTGCCAAGAAGGCCAATGGCATTTTGGGATGTATAAGTAGGGGCATAGCGAGCAGATCGAGGGACGTGATCGTTCCCCTCTATTCGACATTGGTGAGGCCTCATCTGGAGTACTGTGTCCAGTTTTGGGCCCCACACTTCAAGAAGAATGTGGATAAATTGGAGAGAGTCCAGCGAAGGGCAACAAAAATGATTAGGGGTCTGGAACACATGACTTATGAGGAGAGGCTGAGGGAGCTGGGATTGTTTAGCCTGCAGAAGAGAAGAATGAGGGGGGATTTGATAGCTGCTTTCAACTACCTGAAAGGGGGTTCCAAAGAGGATGGCTCTAGACTGTTCTCAATGGTAGCAGATGACAGAACGAGGAGTAATGGTCTCAAGTTGCAGTGGGGGAGGTTTAGATTAGATATTAGGAAAAACTTTTTCACTAAGAGGGTGGTGAAACACTGGAATGCGTTACCTAGGGAAGTGGTAGAATCTCCTTCCTTAGAGGTTTTTAAGGTCAGGCTTGACAAAGCCCTGGCTGGGATGATTTAACTGGGAATTGGTCCTGCTTCGAGCAGGGGGTTGGACTAGATGACCTTCTGGGGTCCCTTCCAACCCTTATATTCTATGATTCTATGTCATGACATAACAACCCTTTTTATAGTGTCTTTCATCAGTAGAGCTGAAAATAAGTCAGATTAATTAAAACCTATACAGTTGGTATACCCATTTTATAGCCAGAGAAACAGACTCAGAAAGGTTAAAGTGTGGCTAGAAAAGGACTATAAAAAGACTTTTTTTCTACAACATATCTGAATTATATCTGCTATCTTACTGACAAATCAAAAATTTTACTATTCTTCTTAAATACAGGAGAAATGCAGCTTTGGAAAAGGAAAATGGATTCTTTTCTGGGTCAGGAGTCATCTGGTATAGTGTAGAGACACAGTAAATGCAAACTTTGAAGAAAGTAAACATAAGCTTAATATGTAGTATATTTGTTGCTAATTATATCTTAAAGCAAAAAAAAAATCCACTTTACTTTTCACTACTTACACGTCTTATTTTTTCCATTTATCTCCACATGGCCACTGAAAATCCACTAAATCAGTTTTACTTCCACGTTCTTAGTGCTGCAATATCTGCATTTCACCCACTGGAGTGGATGGTTTAAAAATGACTTTATCAATGTTTTAAACAAGTGAATAGTTTAACTGCAGCCTTATAAAAATTTGTTTTCATAATACTTCAATTTTAGGACACAGTTAACTGCACTCCCTTAACTTTTATTTTGAGGTTTAGAAAATACTTTGGTTTGTATAAAGGTTCAGTTCTGTTCTTACCACCTCTGTCTTCATTTGGATACCTCAAATCCAGACAGAAACAGGTCTCCATGCTCGCCCTACTTTAACAATGGGAACTTCACTCACATTCAAACCTCCCTATTCACAAACACAAAAGTGTTACTCTTACTCCAAGAAACTGGAGAGTCCTTCCAAACATGTTTTGTGACTAAGGTTTTTTTTTTTGTTTTTACAGTTGTGATCTAGCTATCTCAGTGGGCTAATAGTGCTGCTAGTATCAAAATGACTGCAGACTGTGGAGCCTTTTTTGCGTGGCAACAGACATCCAGAACAGGGTCTTCCTACCCAGTTTTCCTCCTATTCCCATCCTATTGGCTAGCTACAATCACTGAGGGAAGGGTAGGATTCATGCCCTCCTCCACGGCTGCTGACAAAATACTCCATTACATATTGCTTACAGAAATCTTAAAATGCAACAATTCTATTCTTAGGAAAACAAGAACATCCCTTTCTTCAGCATATGAATTTGTTCCTAACATCTCTAACTCCGTCTGACCTAAAACTCAATTTGTTTGCTAAAGTGTTCAAATCTATTTAATTTTAAAGGCACTGTTCACAATCCCATATTTGCCTACCACCCTGGGTGGGTGTTGTGTTGTGTGTGTTTGTTTGTTTTAAATCCTTAAGAAATGAAGATTGTGCAAAGTCATTTGAGATGTGAAATTAAAGCCTGAAAAGGTTCACAAGTAAGTATCTAGGCTGGTGGTCACATCAAAATAGCAGCTAATGTTTACAATCGCTTTCCGGCACATAAACATGAGGTGCGCGTGCATGAGTGAATCCTTTGTGTTTGCTAATCCTATTCAAAGCCTATAGTATGCCTAGCCATGCGCGCACACCCAGTCCCCACCCCTGTGCGCCTGGCCATGCCCCGAAGAGGAAAAGCATAAACAAAAGCTGGTCCTTTAGAGTAAACACCATAGTTGCTTTGTTTCTCAATGTAAAATATTAATAACTTGGAGGAAGAGAGACTATGCGATAAAATACTTCAGAATGGTCTTAAGGTATATTTAAAGAAATGCACCTAGCCTTACTTTAGTGTCCCTTTAACTTAATAAAACATTTTGCTTTAAAAAAGCAAGGATTTTTTGCTTCGGTATCTTTTTCATTAAACTACTCTGCCCATTATTTAACTGCTTTCCATCCTCAACCTGTTTTTTTTTTTTTTTCCCTCCTGGATTCTGTATCTGTCAAAAGACTAAGAATGGCCACCATCGGGGGGGACGGACAATACAGAAAACAACACAGCCTCTCTTAAATGCCTAACTGGTGCTGTCTGCCTCCTTTTGCCAAAAAAAAAAAAAAGCCATACACGCTGAAATAATTTGGTACATACAAACACACTATGAGTTAAAGACAACCCCTTTTGAAAGGCAATGGATGCTCATCCTAGGATAATCAGTGTGTCCAACTACTTAATTTTCATAACTTTCATCTTCTAATGGCTATCAATGGCTTATAATTTTTTCACTGCAGTCTGGAGTTTTCTCCTTTTCAGCTAAAAGTTCACTGGACATACAAACAGTGGTTCCCTTAAAAGCTTTTCAATTACTTACGTAATTGACAGGTCAACTGTATCTTACAGATTCCTGGCCAGAGTTCCACCTCTTTTCCCCAACCCCTTTTAGGCTATGTCTAGACTACATACCACTGGCAGCAGCATGTAGACTACATGTGGCTATGAAAAGCAAGCTGCATCCATGCTGCATTGTGTAGCTAAATGTCAGTGAAACACTCTGGCAGAGGGGAGGCAGTGAGCAAAGCCTTCAGCAGATCTCCACTGCCAGAGTCTTTCAATGAAGCGGGCAAATGGCTCCAGCAACAGGGAGCTAATGGAGCCTTTTCTCAATGCCCCCCCGTGCCAGAACCTTTCCTTGCTGGGGAAATCTTTTCCTGTAGCCAGGAAAAGCTACAGGAGCAGAGAGGCAATGGGACATTACACTGCTAAAAACAGCAGTGCATGGCTTAGGCAAGTAGAGAACACAGAGGTACGTACTCACACACATACCCACGAACTTCAGGTGTAGCTTTAGTCTACTTACCTAAGCCGTACCCCACATACCCAACCAACATAGCCATGTCAACACAACTCTTAGCATAGACCCAGTTATGCTGGCAAAAAAGAACTTTTACCAGTATAAGTTGCATCTCCACTATGGGGGGTGGGGGGATTGCCACTATATCTCTACCAGTACCTCTATTCCAGCAAACCCCTTAGGTTATAAACAAGGCCTAAGTGCTTCTCTTATTCACTCTCTGATTTAGAGCTATGTGGTCATCCCTAGCAATCAAATCAAAAACTCTGGCAAACTAATTTCCCAATCAGAGCTCAACACTTGAAGCAGTTTGTAGTTTGACATTGCATTTTCACTATCATTTCAAGATCAGCAGCAACATAAACTTTAAATCTTATCAGTTTGGGGGAGTGGGTTGACAGACCATCTCCAATACCTCTTCTATCCTGCCACTATTTCCAGTGACACTCCTATGTAACATACAGGTTCACATCTGACTAAATAAACAGCATAGTTAATTGTAAACTCTGGAGTTAGCTGGTGTACGTATATAGAGCTCAAACATATACTGTAGTCAGGGACGTCCCTAGCTACTCTGGGCCCCTATGCAGCCCCCCCCCCCCCCCACGGGGGGCGGCTGGCCCAGACCTCTGTGGGAGGATAGGGCTGTCTTAGGGCGTAGGGGGGAACTGCCCCCCAGCACTCACCGGCAGTGCAGCTGGGGCCGGGTTGCTGCACTTTCTGCCACCAGTAAGTGCAGGCCCGGCCCTGCTGCAGTCCTGAGGGACAGGAAGGGGCAGAGCAGGGGCAGGGGCTTTGGGGAAGGGGTGGAATGGGGACAGGGCTGGGGCAGAGCAGGGGCGGGAAGAGGCGGTACAGGGGCTGGAGCAGCACGCAGCTGCGCAGGGCACCAGGAAATCTGGTGCCCCAAATTTCCTGGTGTCCTACACAGCTGTGTACTTTGCACATGGGTAAGGACAGCCCTGACTGTAGTAGTATATAATGCCTGCAGTTATAATGTAATGACACACATTCCATGGGATGCCAGCTGGATCTCTCTCTGTTTAGGTCTCTGGGGTAAGCATTTCCAGTCCTACAGGCTTCTAGACTATGCCTTTGTGGAAGTAATTGGCTGAGTTTACAGTTATGAGTTTCTTTGGAATGTGTTAACTTGAGTTATGTTCTAATACACATCAATCACCATGGTGCCCTGCAGTTTAGCTGTAACACTTTCAGTGGCACTATGTTGTTTCTTTAGCACCCAAAGAAGAGCATTATATTGCTCAATTATCAGCGTGCTGTCTCTCACTGAAAGTAGCTCCCCTACCCCCATACTTCTAAACTCCAGAGAGTCAGTGGGGGAGTGTGTGAAAGAGCAAAGGAGTGAGAGGGAGCTGCCCTGCAGGAGACTTGAAGACTAGAGCAGGCTTGCTATATAAGCCAACCAGAGAGACCTGGTGCGGGGAAGGAAACAGGAGATGAAGCAGTTCCAAGGAGAGGGAATGGGACTGACTCTGAGAAGCCACAATGGGGTCAACTTGGGCACATCAACTGTAAACTGACGAGAGACTGAAGAAACACTTTTCCATCGCCCAGGCTCTGACAAAAGAGCCATGCCCGGGACCGATTTTTGGGACTGAGAATTTCCTTTTTTAAGTTTAAGGACCCCTCTCCCCCAAAGTGAGCCTGAAGAGGCTGTGTGTTAGTGAGACAAGCTTTCATAAAGCTTCTTGGACTCTTCCTTTTAAAAAAAACAAACAAACAAACAAACAAACAAACAAACAAACAAACAAAACCGCCTCCCCAGATCTTTCTGGAAGGGTAAGTGATGAGGTCAGGTCACTCCTCTCTCACCCTCCTACAGAGGGTATCCTAAAATTCTTTCTAAATCTGGCATCCTGCATAATGAAACAGCTATTGCTTTTTCACCTTATCAGGCATGGCTTATGTTTGGTCCCTCTTCATCCTCATGGTGATGAAGCACTGCATCCCTATTTTGCTCTAGATTGAGCCATCTTTTTGTTCAAATAAAGAACAAAGCAGAAGTCCTTTAGAGGTCACCAGTACTGCTACTTAATGAGCCAGAGGAATAGCTGCTGAGAAACCGGACAGAATTACTCTCTGAAACTTTTAGTGTTCAAAGACTATGGGCAATATAGGAACCTGACTCTGCAAACTCTGATTTACATCAGTGCTCCTTATTTCTACAAGCAGGCCCATGGAAGTCAAGTGAATTACTTGTGCAAGTCAGGGTTTGCAGAATCAGATCCAAAGACTCCATACCCATTACAGACAGCCAATAATATTTTGGAATTTCAAAGCATTTACCTCAGTTGCTTGTCATCATCTTCACACAATTTAACCTGTGTTGAAACTGGTATTGATAGTATCTCTTGTTGATCTCTCTTTAATAAGGAAAGAAAGTTTTTTTCCATTACAGGAAAATACTGTTGGTACCATATAACCAATAATTAGCAAGCATCACAAAAATCAAAAGTACTGTAGCTTACCACGCTTGAGAGACAAACTGAGAGGGTAGTAGGTAGGATAACTTATCTCTCTCAAATCCAGGGAGCAAAGGTTAAGCCTAAAATATCACTGACAGCCTCAAGTGTTCTTCCACTCTAAAGCAGGTATTTTGTTTTTGCTCACGTGAAGTCTTTCTACCTATGTTAAAATAACCTGGAAAAACTGTAGGTGTACCCCTGCATCCTATGGACATGTTGTAGAACATACAACAATCCATAGGAGATAAACAAACTTCCTATTTTCCAGATTATGCAAAAGAAATAACCAGTCTTTCTAATTTAAAATATTTACATTCTCTCAATTCTATCCAAATAAATAAAACACTGACACATTTTTTTAAGACATCAGTTTAGCCACAGACATTCAGAACATGTAAATCATTTTTCTTTGAAGTTTCTAGAGTGTTAGCTGGAATACTGAGAGCCTGAAAAACATCCAAAATCTGCTTCTTTCAAACAAACATTGGGTTCTTCCACACCCACACATGCCAATACTGTCACGTGGTATTTTCATCCCTTATTTATTTTTATTCTTGCTTTAAGTGTCCTAACTACTGGGGGAAATGTTATTGGGTTTTTTTAAGCAATATGCATAAGTATGAACTAAACACAGAAAAGTTACTAGTCAAAAGTAGGTTTCAGAGTAGCAGCCATGTTAGTCTGTATTCGCAAAAAGAAAAGGAGTACTTGTGGCACCTTAGAGACGAACAAATTTATCTAAGCATAAGCTTTCGTGAGCTACAGCTCACTTCATCCGATCCAGTGAAGTGAGCTGTAGCTCACGAAAGCTTATGCTCAAATAAATTTGTTAGTCTCTAAGGTGCCACAAGTACTCCTTTTTCTTTTAGTCAAAAGTAGTGTTAGATTACTGAGCCGACACAGCTTCCTTCCACCAAGGAGGTTTCTGTGGACCCTTGCACATCTGATGTTTAGCGCTTGGAAAACGTATGTATCGAAGAGCATGTGGCTAATTTTACAGATTTCTTTGTAGGACATGAGATTTCTGGGACCATGATGCTACTTTGATCTCAGTGGGTGGGCTTCCATTTTTGAAGGGGAAAAGGAATGGACTTGAAAGCTTTGTTGAAGGTGATGGATTGGAAGGTTTTCTTGCCCCCAAACTACTTGATGATACAGGGACTAAATTTTCATTAACTTTTTGGTTCTTCAGAGCCCTCCTGACAGGCAGCTTTTGTAACAACTTCTCCTTTGGGTGAGATGGCTTCACACAAAAAGGAGGCAAGCTGTCACTTGAGCCCTGCAGAACTGTTTGCCTTTGGACCAAAGGCTACATATGTTCTTAGGATCATTTTGTCTTAAAACATGGAAAACCGATCAATTTATAGCACTCCTAACTCTGATTCTTCTGCCGGATGTGATGGCCTCTAAATGCCACCTTTATAAATATGGAAAACTATGTAATGGTTTAAAAGGATGCTTAGTCACACTTCCAGGATTGGTCCCAAGGGGGATCCTGAGCACCAGAGGAGACCTTCTAATTTCTGATGCTCTGACAAGTCTTCTGATATCCAGATTCTTGTTGCTAGGAGCATCTTCCAGATAGTCTTTTCCTGGGTCTTAAATTTAGCTATCTTGGAGAAATTCTACAACACAAGCTATTGTAGTCTGCTTTGGTCTGGTTGAGCTTTACCCACACAGTATTTGATCTTTTGCCACAGAAGGAAATACATCCAGTTGGCAGATTTGTTTTTCGAAGGAAAAAAACAGATAGCACTCTGAATGCCTCTTTCAGCTGCTTCTTTTCAGAAACCAGATAGCTATGCTCAGTTTGCCAGTGTCCTGGTGAGCTACTGGAATAGGTGATACCTAGTGGGTATGAAGACTGGTGATTGCAATAATTGCTGCAGTGGCTTCAAGAACTATGGACTTCTGCATATGACTTTAGCTTTTTCTCTTTTTGATATGGTTTGCAATACTGTAAGTAATTGAGGGAATATGCCTACTTGCTGTGTAAGTTACTGCTTGAACAAGCCTGATTTGTTTCTTAAGGTTGAGATTTTATGATTCTCTTTTGATGCAAACAAGAATATTGTCTGTTGCCAGTCTTCAGTCTGCCTGGTCCAGATCCTGGTGGCTGCCTTATTAAAGGAATACTTTTTGCTTTAAACAAGTTTTTGTTATTAACAACACTATTGATAATTATGCTGTTTACTTTTTGTATTTCTCTCAACTTGGACAATGCAAATCAATCAACTCAGTTTCACTTATTTATAATTAATTTCACTGCTGCAATGGCTACGTTTCAAACATTGAAACGTAATGTTTATTTAAGATGTGGATTTCCCCCTCCCGAAGAATGGCGTGGATATGCTTCTGTTGGTTTGGGGTAAGGCTGTCAAGCGATTAATCACGTGATTAATCGCACTGTTAAATAATAATAGAATACCATTTATTTAAATATTTTTGGATGTTTTCTACATTTTCAAATATATTGATTTCAGTTGCAACACATATACAAAGCACACAGTACTAACTTTATATTTATTTTTGATTACAAGTATTTGCACTGTAAAAAAATAGTATTTTTCAATTCACCTAATACAAGTAGTGTAATGTAATCTCTTTATCATAAAAGTTGAAGTTACAAATGTAGAATTATGTACAAAAATAACTGCATTCAAAAATAAAACAATGTAAAATTTTAGGGACTACAAGTCTACTCGGTCATACTTCTTATTCAGCCAATCGCTCAGACAAACAAGCTTGTTTACATTTGCAGGAAATAATGCTGCCTGTTGCTTGTTTACAATGTCACCTGAAAGTGAGAACAGGTGTTCTTATGGCACAGTTGTAGCCAGCGTCACAAGATATTTGTGGCAGATGCACTAAAGATTCATATGTCCCTTCATGATTCAACCACCATTCCAAAGGACATGCGTCCATGCTGATGATGGGTTCTGCTCGATAACAATCCAAAGCAGTGTGGAGAGATGCATGTTCCTTTTCATTATCTGAGTCGATTTTCTTTTTTGATGGTTTGGGTTCTGTAGTTTCCACATCAGAGTGTTGCTCTTTTAAGACTTCTGAAAGCATGCTCCACACCTCATCCCTCTCAGACTTTGGAAGGCACTTCAGATTTTTAAACCTTGGGTCAAGTGCTATAGCTATCTTTAGAAATCTCACATTGGTACCTTCTTTGTGTTGTCAAATCTGCAGTGAAAGTGTTCTTAAAATGATCAACATGTGCTAGGTCATCATCGGAGACTGCTCTATCATGAAATATATGGCAGAATGCAGGTAAAATAAAGCCGGGGACATACAATTCTCCCCCAAGGAGTTCAGTCACAAATTTAATTAATGCTGCTTTTTTTTTTTTTTTTTTTTTAAATGAGCATCGTCAGCATGGAAGAACGTCCTCTGGAATGGTGGCCAAAGCACGAAGGGCCATACAAATGTTTAGCTTATCTGGCATGTAAATAGCTTGCAATGCGGTCTACAAAAGTTCCATGCAAATGCCTGCTCTCACTTTCTGGTGATATTGTAAATAAGAAGAGGGCAGCATTAACAGCTGTAGTAAATGTAAACAAACTTGTTTGTCTTAGCAATTGGCTGAACAAGAAGTAGGACTGAGTGGACTTTGTTTTGTTTTTGAGTGCAGTTATGTAACAAAAAAAATCTACATTGGTAAGTTGCACTTTCGGGACAAAGATTGCACTACAGTACTTGTATGAGGTGAATTGAAAAATACCATTTCTTTTGTTTACAAATATTTGCACTGTAAAAATGATAAAAAATATACATTTTGATTTCAATTACAACACAGATAAAATATATGAAAATGTAGAAAAACATCCAAAATATTTAATAAATTTCAATTGGTATTCTATTATTTAAGTGTGATTAAGACTGCAATCAATAGGAATTAATTTTTTTAATCGCAATTAATTTTTTTGAGTTAATCACATGAGTTAACTGCGATTAATCGACAACCCTAGTTTGGGGTTGTTTTTGTTTTTAAAAAAGTGAATTTGGCCCAAATTCAAGTATCCCTTCAATTTTGCTTTGCTGTAGCTTGGAAACATTTTAAGCAACCACAAAAGCACTCCAGCTCCTGCAGACTCAGAAGCTAGCACTGCAACAGTTCATATTCAACTTGTATTCAAAAGGATTTTTTTTAAATAAAAAAGCTTAAGTTCTACAGAAGTAGATGACTTTTGTCCAACTTGCCCATGAAAGCTTCCTACCTCCCACAACCAGATAATTTTTTCAAGAATTGACACTTTATGCATGTGAACTACGTTTGCATTATGTAGCATAGCCTAAATTTACTCACTATTACTTCTTCAGCCTGACGCACCAACTCTGCTGTTTTTGCCTCTAATTCTGCATTCAGTCGCCTGAGACAATAAGATAGCTTTGTCATTAAGTTTACCTGAAGAGTTTAAAGGAAATACATTTTAAATGGAATTTCTGCAGTCTGGCAGTACACAAGCCTTGAATAATCATTCATGTCTACAAAGCAGAATGAAATACTTTTATAAGTTTCTTTATAGTGGGAAGTAGTAACACCTTACCTATTTCTGTGTTAACAGACTGATGTCTTATATGCAGTCTGCCTTTTAGATATATATGTATTTTAATTCCCTAAACCCCACCCAGGGTAATACTTTCCTACAATAAAAGTAGGATAGCTGATTATTTTTTAAGTTAAATTTATTTTTCTTTTACACATCTGAAAGAAAAAAGCTTTTGCAGTGCTTTTATTCCAGTCAGTTGTCCTCCCCCCCTTAAAAAACCAAACACAAAATGCAAAATTTCTATTCCATTGTGCTACTAGATTTTCCTTTTAGAATAAGACTAATAATTACATTAATTGTTGCAGCAGAGTGAAAAAGCTATTCAAGTTGCAACCCAAGGCCAGAAGATACAACACAAGCATGTATTAGAACAAGTTTGTACAACCAAAATGTGTGGAGAAGACATCTCTGCTTTTTCAGACACCACTTTTTATTATACCTCATGTCACTCAACACTTATAAACATTTTTAATTAAAATCTACATAGGTAGAACTGATAGCAAGCATGGGAAATGACGCTGGCATTCTGTGGAAATAGTATTATGTGATTATATAATTGAAGACTGTATCATTATGCATATGCACAAGGGGGAGAAAGGGTGAATTAAGGTTTCATGGGCTTAGTTCTAACATTTCCTAACTTTTAAGTGCTTCACTTTTGCAACCTTAACATTATTTTAATGTAGAGAGGGTTTTTGTTTATGTAATATAAAGTTGTCTTATCAGATGTATCATCACATATCCCTAACAGATAATAGGGAGAGACAGCAGACACATAGGAGGGAAGTTTATTGAAAGAGGGTGGTTTCTACCCTTCAGCTAGAAACCTCTTGGATTAAAAAAATTAACAACAATTTTTAGCTTTTTTAAACAAAGTTTTGGCCACTTTAGAGGAACTTTCATATTCTAAAGTCATCTCATCTTTTTACTGAAGGTGAGTTCAAGATGCAGCTTTAAAAAAGGGGGGGGAGGAATTAAAACTCCTAAACTAACCTACCTACACTGAGGCCTAGTACAGTGAAAATGTTTAACCTGTAGCCTTTTGTGTAAGGTGCCAATAGGAAGGGGGGGGGGGTGTCAGAGCACTAGTTAGAACTGTCATTTCTGCCATGACCAGATATCCTGATGAAAAGGGTACTCTTAATACTTCTGGCCATAACTGTTTGGTAAAGACGGTTTGGCCTGTGGTTTTAGGTAGCTCCGAACTGAACATGGGTCTGTTAAGAGCCAGAGAGGCCATCAACAAATAAAAACTGTGCTGGGGTCCCTCTAAAAACCCAGCAACCATCCTGAAAGTGCTGGAGCATTTGCCTTGTCCAATTTGATCAATCCCATTCTGAACATAGTATTTTACGGATATCAAAATAGGGTCAAGGGAGCATCTCTCCTCCTTGCCTTACAGTTCTGTCCTTACTTGTACTCCTCCTCCTTAGCCAGGAAGTCTCCATGCATCAAAGTCTTCTTTGGCATTGCAGAATGGGGCAGGATCCTGTGGGATTTCCGCACCTGTGGAGAGCAGGACAGGAGGGTGAGGCACCCCTCCTTAGCACACTGGCTCACACCTCACCCCCTGCTTAGAGGGGGCATTCAGCTCAGGGCACTGTGCTAGGTAACAACCCCCCCATACCCTCCCCACCCCTGTCTGACCCCTAATCTGCCCAGACCCACCCCCCAAAACCCCAGTCGACTCACCAGACATCTGAACCCCTAAGCACCCAGACACAACCCTGATCGACCTCCCCTCCCCCAGGTCTGGTCCCCAATTACCCCAGGCACTCTGATCGCCTCCCCCGGCTCTGATCCCCCTAGGCCACCCAGACACCCCCGCAACGCGGGTCTGAACGCTTAATCCGATCAACTCCCCGCGCCTCCTCTTCATCTGGGCACGGCCGGTTAGACCCCCGCCCAATAACCGCATTCACCCAGCCCCTCCGGGATGGCTCCCCCACAGCCTCCCCGCCCCCGGGATCGGGACTAGCCTGAGGGGCCTCCCATAGCAGCCAGCAGCCCAGATTTCCCTCACGCCTCACCCCAGCTGAACCGCACCCCACGCCTCGCCTGACTCCGCTCCCGCCTCCCGCCGCCATTTTGTCCCTGCTGAGGGGCAGCTGAGTAGCGTCGCTCTCACTAGGCAACCGGACCCAGCCCCGCGCAGGAAAGGGCGTTAAATCGTCGCTTGCCGGGGCCTGGCCGGTCCACATCGCAGGAGGGCGAGTCTGTGGAGCCCATCCCCAGCCCGTGGGGCTGGTTCCTGGCGCCTACCGGGGGAGGAGAAGTTAATTGTCGGGTGCCCCACGTCCCCCGTGGAGGGGATTGGTTCCTGGCGCTGCTCCTTAGGGGGGCAGTGGGGTGCCCTTGTGACCCCACCCGTGAACCCAACTGCCGACATGGGCAGCCTGGGTGGTGTTGTCCTTTCCCTTTCCCAGCTGCTTGGCGTGGAGGCCAGAATACAGTCTGGTGGCAGCTCTCACTGCCCCTCCTAGCAACCCCTCCTCCAGAGCACAGCCCCCTGGGCTAGCTGCTGTGTGGACACAAATAGCCCCTGAGGCAATTCCTGCCCAGAATGCTTCCAGTCGGGTTGTCAGGATGTGACCAGCATCCAAATGCAATGGCGGGGGGGGCGTCAGGTGATAAAATGAACAGAATTTAGGGGGGAAAGTGATGGCTTGTCACTTGCCTCACTGCTGCCAACTGGTAGTGATTTGTAGGCATCATGGCAAGGACAGGTGTTTAGGAGGCTAGGATGAATTTAGAAATGTTGACATGGAGTTTTTCCCATGTGTGGGGCAATTAAGCTTGCCATGAGTGGCAGAGCAAGGGCGCAGGGGTCAATGGTTTGAAAAGTTAAGAATTGATGCGGCCAGGCTAAATGGCGAAGAACCTTAAAGACAAAGCTAAGGGGCTTGTGTTTGGTGCTATGAAGGAGAGAGAACTAGCAGAGAGACTCAAAGAGGATGAGAATGAAGTAAAGGCTCCTGGACAAAGCCATGAAGAGGTCACTCAAGACCTTAGTGCAGTTTTGGTGCTGGATATGTGATTAGAATGAACAACATTTTTGATGAAAATCAGGCACATCTGACTTGGGTAGTGCATGGTTTCAGTGGGAGTCATGGAACTGCACGTAGGCCTACGCTACAGACTTCTGCCACCATAGCTTCATCAGTCTGGTGTGAAGAAGTGTGATCCATGACTGACATAGCTGTGCCATCAAAAGATGCTAGTATAGATGCAGTTATAATGTCTGTTGTACACATGGGGGTTGGTTTTTCTAAACCAAGGTGCACTTTGCCAGCATAACTGTGTCCAGACTAGGAGCTCTTCGCCAAAAAAGTATACTGTATTCCTATACCTGTAATTGGTTCCTAGTATAGACATAGCCATATACTTTTTTAAAAAACTGGAGGCAAGATAGGAGTGTGGGGTAATGTCTATTGTGTCCCTTCCCCCTTCCTGACATTTGAAGGATGTGAACTACAGTAAATGGTGAAATGGACAAAAACTTTTTGTGTCCTCTGCCCTTTCTACTGTTTTCTCCTATTTCTAGTCCCTCTACTCTATTTTGTACTAGTTTCTGAAAGTTCTGCTCAGTTATTTATCACAGCTTTTCCAGTCCTACCTTGTTTTCTGCTTTACTCCTCTGTCATCTTCCTCTACCTGGGGTTTCTGTTCTCAGTTCTATTCTATACTTTTCTCTTTTTTCCTACATTGTCCTCTGATTTGTTTTTGAATTTCCCCATTTTTTCTACCTCTTTCTCTGTCTTTCTCATCCATGCACTGATTGTGAAGGAGCTGCACAATGAAAAATCAATCACTCACTTGTTCATTCATTCTTCCTTTTACATATCATTCATTCTCCCACTCACGTTCATTCATTGATTCTTTGCCACGTCCTTACATTCACTCATTCCTCTTTTCACATATCATTCATTCTCCCACTCACACACTCATTCATTGAATCTCTTCCTTATAGTCACTCAATTTTTCACTTGCACACACACTTCCATTGAGCTGTGAGGAGGAGCCAAAAAAGCAAGAGATTGGGGAACACCCAACCTGAGGGTGGGGGTCAGATAGAGGAGAAGCTGCAAGGGATGCAGATTTTGGTGGAAGAGTAGCTTCCAACACAATGAAGAGCTGAGGACTAAGTAGATCAAGAGCTGCCAGTGGGTAGTTTGGAGAGGGGCATGTGGAGAGGAATAGGGTAGAGGTTTGAGGGCCGTGGGGAAAATTAGCTGGTAGAGGGTGGTGCTGAGTGGATAAAGTTGTGGGGGAAAGTTTAGGAAGGAGCCTTTGGAGTGAAGGACTATTACTCTTTATGGAATTCTGCACCAAAAAATTAAAAATTCTGCACATAAAATTTTAAAGTTCTGCAAAATTCTGCTTACTTTATTTGTCTAAATAACACAATATAATCACCCCAGTTTCAATTATTTTGGTAATTTATTTCAAAATATCTGGCAGCAAGTATGTCTGGATATACAGACAAAAAAGATTCAGGATATGATTTTTGACAAATCGATTCCTTACGAGGCATATTAATCATTTAAACTACAATAAAGAATCATATTTCCCACACCCCTCAGAAGCAGTGCAAAGGTTTGGGGTAGTCAGGGATAATGGAGGAGCTGAGGGAGAAAGAAGTAATTGCTGGGAAGGATCCTGAGAGTGAAACTGGGGGGTTGTGGGGTGTCGGTGGGAGAAGTATGGAATAGGTTTTTTCTTGGGGGAAGGAATTATTATGGAGTTGGGGAGGCTCACTCATGCAGACCCTGGCTGACCACTAGACTCTCCTATTCAGTCAGGGACATCTGCCTCTGTCATAGAATCATAGAAGATTAGGTTTGGAAGAGACCTCAGAAGGTCATCTAGTCCAACCCCCTGCTCAAAGCAGGACCAACCCCAATTAAATCATCCCAGCCAAGGCTTTCTCAATCCTTAAAAACCTCTAATGATGGAGATTCCACCACTTCCCTAGGTAACCCATTCCAGTGCTTCACCACCCTCCTAGTGAAATAGTTTTTCCTAATATCCAACCTAGACCTCCCCCACTACAACTTGAGACCATTGTTCCTTGTTCTGTTACCTGCCACCACTAAGAACAGCCTAGCTCCATTCTCTTTGGAACCCCCCCTTCAGATAGCTGAAGGCTGCTATCAAATCCCCCCTCACTCTTCTCTTCTGCAGAATAAATAAGCCCAGTTCCCTCAGCCTCGCCTCATAAATCAGGTGCCCCAGCCCCCAGTAATTTTTGTTGCCCTCCACTGGACTCTCTCCAATTTGTCCACATCCTTTCAGTTGTGGGGGGCCCAAAACTGGATGCAATACTCCAGATGTGGCCTCACCAGTGCCGAATAGAGGGGAATAATCACTTCCCTCGATCTGCTGGCAATGCTCCTACTAATGCAGCCCAATATGCTGTTAGCCTGCTTGGCAACAAGGGCACACGGTTGACTCATAGCCAGCTTCTTGTCCACTGTAATCCCCAGGTCCTTTTCTGCAGAACTGCTGCTTAGCCAGTTGGTCCCCAGGCTATAGTTATGCTTGGGATTCTTCTGTCCTAAGTGCAGGACTCTGCACTTGTCCTTGTTGAACCTCATCAGATTTCTTTTAGCCCAATCCTCCAATTTGTCTAAGTCACTCTGGACCCTATCCCTATCCTCCAGTGTATCTACCTCTCCCCTCCGCCAGCTTAGTATCATCCGTGAACTTGCTAAGAGTGCAATCCATCCCATCATCCAGATCATTAATGAAGATGTTGAACAAAACCCAAGACAGACCCCTTAGGGCACTCGGCTTGATACTGGCTGCCAACGAGACATCAAGCCATTGATCACTACCTGTTGAGCCTGACAATCTAGCCAGGTTTCTATCCACCTTATAGTTCATTCATCCAATCCATTCTATTTTAACTTGATGGCAAGAATACTGTGAGAGACCATATCAGAAGCTTTTCTAAAGTCAAGCTATATCAAGTCCACCACTTTCCCCATATCCACAGAGCCAGTTATCTCATCATAGAAGGCAATCAGGTTGATCAGGCATGACTTGCCCTTGGTGAATCCATGTTGACTGTTCCTGATCACCTTCCTCTCCTCCAAGTGCTTCAAAATGGATTCCTTGAGCACTTGCTCCATGATTTTTCCAGAGACTAAGGTGAGGCTGACCAGTCTGTAGTTCCCCAGATTCTCCTCCTTCGCTTTTTTAAAGATGAGCACTATATTTTCTTTTTCCAGTCGTCCAGGACCTCCCCCAGTCACCATGAGTTTTCAAAGATGATGGCCAATGGCCTCCTTCAAAACGCTCAGATGCATTAGATCTGGCCTCATGGACTTGTGCATGTCCAGCTTTTCTAAATAGTCCTTAGCCTGTTTTTCCACCACTGAGGGCTGCTCACCTCCTCCCCATACTGTGCTGCCCAGTGCAGCAGTTTGGGAGCTGACCTTTTTTGTGAAGACCCAGGCAAAAAGAGCATTGAGTACTTCAGCTTTTTCCACATCATCTGTCACTAGGTTGCCTCCGCCATTCAGTAAGGGTCCCACACTTTCCCTGACCTTCTTGTTGCTAACATACCTGTAGAAACCCTTCTTGTTACCCTTCACATCCCTTGCTAGCTGCAACTCCAGTTGTGCTTTGGCCTTCCTGATTATACCCCTGCATGCTCAAGCAATATTTTTATGCTCCTCTGTAGTCATCTGTCCAAGTTTCCACTTCTTGCAAGTTTCCTTTTTGTGTTTAAGCTCACAAAAGATTTCTCTGTTAAGCCAAGCTGATTGCCTGCCATATTTGCTATTCTTTCTGCACATCGGGATGGTTTGTTCCTGCACCCTCAATAAGGCTTCTTTAAAATACAGCCGGCTCTCCTGGACTCCTTTCTTGCTCATGTTAGCCTCCGAGGGGATCCTGCCTATCAGTTCCCTGAGGGAGTCAAAGTCTGCTTTTCTGAAGTCCAGGGTCCATATTCTGCTGCTCTCCCTTCTTCCTTTTGTCAGGATCTGAACTCGACCATCTCATGGTCACTGCTGCCCAGGTTTCCACCCACTTCTACTTCCCCTACCAATTCTTCCTCGTTTGTGAGCAGCAGGTCAAGAAGAGCATGGCCCCTAATTGGTTCTTCCAGCACTTACACTAGAAAGTTGTCCCCAGCACTCTCCAAAAACTTCCTGGATTGTCTGTGCTCTGCTGTATTACTCTCTCAGCAGCTGTCAGGATGATTGAA